AATATTAAATATTAAAATGTTAACAAGTCTGTATCGGAGTCTGGCTGAATCAATTCTACGGTATGGAATTTTGGTCTGGGGAAGTATGTACAACAACTCCCTAAAACCACTACAAACTGTTCAGAATAGAATATTAAAAATTATATTTAGGAAAAATATTTTATATCCTTCTCATCTCCTCTACAATAACACCATTTTAAACATAAGAACATTATTCTATCATACAGTTTGTTGTTATATGCATACTCATGAAAGAATTAAACATCCTATAGACCATGTGTAACACTCGAATAAATGTAAATGGACATTTAATTGTTCCTAGATGTTATAGTGAGTTCAGGAAGAAATCAATTCACTACTTGGGACCAAAATTTTATAACATTTTGCCTTATCATTTCAAGAATGCAAATACAAAATATTTTTCTAAGCTTGCTAGGACATACAGGGTGGCCAATTGAAAACGAAACAGAGGTGATTTTGGGCTCCTCAAGAGATTTAAGAAAAAACCCTCGAACCCGTCGATTTTTGATTTGAGGGGGAACCATTTTTTTGGCATTTTCACCACCTAGGGGGCAAAGCCCTAGCTGGGGTGACAAGGGCCCCCGAAATTTTAAATGGAATGAGTGGTCGAGTGATACCTTATTTTGAAGCTATTTTTATGTAGATTATAACACCTGAGTTTCACATCGTTACTATTTACCTAGCCATTACAGGGGCCGATTAAAGCTACAAAAACATGTTGGGATATTTTGTATTTGAAAAAATGCTTTAAAACCAAAATCAATCAAGTAAATGCTGAAAATGACCCCAGAAAAAAAAATCTAACGGGCTTAAATCTGGAGAACGTGGGGGCCACTCAATAGCTCGTCTTCTTCGAATCGATTGTCCTGGAAACGTTTGGTCCAAATATTGACAAATCACTGCAACATAGTGGGGTGGCGCACCATCTTGTTGAAATATTAGACGGTTTTCCATGTATCCGTTAGCATTCTCTAGTATCTCCACCAATTCTGGATGAATCGCATCTTCTAACCACTCTGGGTACATTTCTCCTATTAAATTTATAGGTAAAAGAGGGACCACGGTTACCCAAAATACTAGCTCAAACGCTCAAGTAATCTACATTTCCATAACGCCCTAGGACGTTATTTCGCACGTATTATACCTGGAAATACAGGGCTTCCATTTCAAAAATTGCCACCCACGTTATCTGCGTAAAGAGGCATATTTGCAGAAATCGCCAAAACCCGTCAACTGTATTGAAGGGGAAGGGTTTTTACGTAAAACTGGACTTCGCCCCTTCAACCCTCTAAGCCCTAGGGCTACCTTCCCAAAATTTTTGAATGAAACAGGGGGTCGAGTTAGTGTTTCATTCAAAAATTTTGGGGAGGTAGCCCTAGGGCTTAGAGGGTTGGAGAGGCGAAGTCCAGTTTTACGTGAAAAACCTTCCCCCTCAATAAATTTGGAAAACATGGAAAACCGTCTAATACTCCAACAAGATGGTGCTCCACCCCACTATGCTGCAGTGGTTCGTCAATATTTGGACCAAATGTTTTCAGGACAATCGATTCGAAGGAGAGGAGCTATTGAGTGGCCCCCAGGTTCTCCAGATTTAAGCCCGTTAGATTTTTTTTTTCTGGGGTCATTTCCAGCATTTACTTGATTGATTTTGGTTTTAAAGCATTTTTTCAAATACAAAATATCCCAACATATTTTTGTAGCTTCAATTAGCCCTTGTAATGGCTAGGTAAATAGTAGCGATGTGAAACTTAGGGGTTATAATGTACATAAAAATAGCTTCAAAATAAGGTATCACTCGACCCCTCATTCCATTTAAAATTTTGGGGGCCCTTGTCACCCTAGCTAGGGCTTTGCCCCCCAAGTGGTGAAAATGCCAAAAAAATGGTTCCCCCTTAAATAAAAAATCGACGGGTTCGAGGGTTTTTTCTTAAATCTCTTGAGGAACCCAAAATCACCTCTGTTTCGTTTTCAAATGGCCACCCTGTATATTGCAGAGCATAATGAATTGTTTTCCTCTGTTATATTCTCCTGAACTTCTTACACATGTTCCTACTTTGTTTGCATGCCTGTGCTGAGTGTTTGTTTTTGTTATTATTAATTTATTTTTTTTCGTTTGTTTTATTTTTGCAATGTATTAAAAAGCTGTATCGATTACCTACTCCACTTAAATTAAAATTATTTATCCACCCTATAGTTATATTATATTAAAGTTTATTGTCCATACGGATGCTTAGCATCTAGGGACCTTTATTGTAAACATTAGATATATGTATTAAAAAAAAATGTAGTTATGTAAAATTCTTATGTAATCGAATAAATAAAATTAAAAAAAATAAAAAAATAAGAGATGAGAAATTCTTTTGTAAATACTTGTAGGATGAGAACGATGAGGTGCTAGGGGACAATTCTGTTGATCAGGCTCTTAGAATAATTAAATATCGGAATTTTTGTGCTAAATTTGTTTGCTCTACAAATCGTCGTTAATTTCACAAAGTGACGTATCTCAAAAAAACCCTGATTTGAGATACGTCACTTTGTGAAATTAACGAGGAAATGTGTACCTACATTAAATATAGTGTAATCTAAAAACAGGAAAATCTAACCTTTGAGTTATTGGAAACCATTGTTATTATGCCTTTTTTTAAAACCACCCCACAGCGACGCCATATACAGTGTGCGCCATAAAGTTGGGTACATACAGGAAAATTCTCAAGTATTCCTTTTTACAAAAAACTTTTTTTGGGGATTGTTAGGGAATGTTCAATAACCAAAAAATCGATTATGACAATTGATATTGATGTCAAAAAACGGGTAAATTTGGCAAGATATCAAAAAATTTCATAAGAAAAAGTTGTTCAGAATCCACAAAGAACTCCACATACCGATTTTGAAGCAAATCAGAGAAAAAAAATAAAACTACTTAATTTACCCATACCATTAAATGGAAAATCGAAAATATTAATTTTATTTCAAAAATAGCTTTATTCCACTAAACTAAATAAGTTTGGTATCAAACGAATCGATTGTTTTGCGAAATACACACTTGAAGGTCATAAATTAGAAAAAACCGTCCGGTCGTGTCGCTATAACTGTACCCATGTCCCTTTTTGTACATTTCTTGGTCATCAGAAAAATAACATGACATGTGTCATTATCGATTTTTTGGTTATCGAACATGCCCTAACGATCCCCATAAAAAGTTTTTTGGAAAAAGGAATAATTAAGAATTTTCCCATATGTACCCAACTTAATGGCGCACACTGTACAAAATAAAAATAATTCACCTCAGCACAAGGTATTGCAGTAATTTGGATAGAGACCGCCTTATCGCTAAAGGTACTTTGAATTTTATTTGGTGTGTGGCTGCTCTAAAATTTACCTAGGGATTAAAAACAAACTCCAATAGGAAACGAACGTAAAGGAAAATATCGAAGGGCGAACGTTAAAATAAACTTTCTAGGAAAATAAACAGTATTCACTATTCAGGTTACATCCCCTGCCTTGTTTTCTAGGGTCGCTTTATTTAATGAAAAAACATTCAAGTCTTTTGTTGTGGTTCCCAAATGGATAAACCTGGACGAGAATCGAGTTTTAAGAACGCATTGCAAACAATTTATAATAGTCCACTGTGATAATTACATTTATTTTATGCTAAAAGAATACAAATTCGTCCTTACTTTATATTTTGTTAGATTGAATATTTTCGTGATTATAGAGATTTCTCCATTGAATGGTCCTCATTGGGCTCATTAAAGGCTGTTTTGGAACTGTATGAATTTGAATGCATTTTTCACAAAAATGTATTTTTTCTACAGACGTCAAAAAATGATGACATTTTCACACTGATTTCCGTTCGAAAAATGTCACATTGGTTTTATTTACCTTAACGACGTGCACGAAATATTTCGCGCACTAGGGCACGAAATACTTCGTGCACGCTCAGTGGTGATATTTTAAAAATACATAAATGGAAAAAAATTTAACGACAAAGTGTAAATATCAGAAAAAAACCCATATTTTCTGGGGCACCTACCCACTCAAATTGAATAAGTGCAGGATATTGAACTTTTTCGATTCACCCTCGAAATACATTAGAATTATGGTTTCACTCATTTATTTGACGGTTTTGTGCGAACATCATCGTGTAGCTGTATTATTATTATATTGGGAACTACAAATTCTTCTGGAGTTTCTATTTCTAATCAACATTTTATGCCGAAATGATTCCGCGTCGGTCAGACCTTGGGAAAAAACTTTGACAAGCAGTGTGTCATGGTGTGTCATTATTTGTTAAAAAAAAATTCCGTAGCAACCAGTTAACAGGCTGTTCTGAAATAGAATTTCCTTGAATTATTTAATTTTAATATTACCCAAAATTAGTTTAATTCTGTCAGTAGAAAAAACGTTGTTTGCAACTCGTGCGCGAAATGCCATTTTGGTGAACGAGAACGAAAGTTTTTTGACGACGCGAAGCGGAGTCAAAAAATCATTCGAGTTGGATACAAAAATAACTATTTTTTTATGAAACCATTCTTACATGTTACAAAAGTGAATTATTATCAAATTTGTTATCCTCTAGAAACAAGAAGAAAGTGCGTCGAGATATTATTAGACAGTTTACAAGAAAACAAGCATTATTATTAGACATATTCAATAACCTACGTATCGATTATAGCTATTTCAAGCAAAAGCTTTCAATGTCGTGTTTCTCATCACAAAAGCTATCAGTTTCCCTGAAGCTCTTTGCTCTGCTACTTAATCTTCCGGGATGTCGTCGAAGGCATACAAGTTGAAGGTTGTTATTCGATTATTCCGGTAATACGAGTTCATTATTTCCATGAAACTTTGGCTTGGAAATGATTAATTTCTAAATAACGACGTTACGTTTTGGAATTTATTTGTGAAAATCGGGTCAAGTAATAACTTATTCATCAGTGAAATTGAAATTTATTTTACATTGATGTTTTTTTTTGTTTCAGATCTGCCACTGATACTCTCACAAATACTAAGGTGGCGATCAAGAAGATATCACCATTCGAGCATCAAACTTACTGTCAAAGAACTTTGAGAGAAATTAAAATTCTAACAAGATTTAAACATGAAAATGTGAGTACATAACTAATTTTTAAGATTTCAATAATTTAAAACTACATACTTAAATGTTCATTAACACACTTGGTTTAGAATTATTAAGTTGAGGACTAGTTCGTGAATGGGTTTTTTGATTGATTGTTTTTGGAGCTTTTTCAGTCATTTCTGAAAAAAAAAACCTTTTTGCATCAACGCAGCCCAATATTTGAAGGGTGTTGAATACCCTTTTATTCGATGATTGATTAAACGATTTTCAATAGCCCCTTTATTTCCAGAGAATTCCTTATTGAATGGGGACTCCAAAAGCGCCTTTTTGTAACAAAACGTGCAATATTACTCTCTAATATGGAAAGGAAAATTACTTTTATTTTAGGAATCCTATTTTTCTCATGATGTATTAAATTTTTGAATTTCAACGTTCTGATTCTGTGTTAATATCAGGTGGCCGGTATGAAATTCAATACTAGGGATTTTTACCTGAGCGAAGTAAGTTTGAAAACATACATGGTAATTTAACAACCACATCCTGTGTATCAAAAAAAAAAAATTGTTTTATTGCATAATTTTTCAATTTCTCATACATATGCATAGTTTATTTTTCACTTGACATTTTATTGTATAAAGTTACTCCAAGGAAATTGTAAAAGCAAAAATACCAAAGTGAATTTCACTAATAGCTCCATTAAAATAATAAAGGTCATATAAGATCTGTTTCAACTCAACGTTCCAACTATTGATTAATTCCCGTTTGTTCTGCACATTTAAACAGAGTTAATTATTTAATCTCAAATGCACACATTCGCATTATTTAATCAGGAAGCTATGCTAATGGTCAAATGAGCTGCAAAATTTACTTTGGAGTTTGCTTGCTTTATTCCGTATTTATTTAGAACTAAACAAATAGGTATTTCCATTCCTTTGTTTAATGCGAGATTTTAGATTTCCCGGAAAGCATTTCCAGTTATATTTTGTCCTTAGGGGCTGCGACGGAACCGAGTTCCTCCTATATGAGGAAATAAGTTTAAAATATATGTTTGAAGTTGTTAGGTAATGCCACTATGAGTAAAATAAATGGGGTTTTATTCACGTTTAAAATAATCCTACACAAATAGGTTGGAGGGAAAAGAAGGATTACTTATTACTTTTTATTTGAAAAAAGTATTTTCACTTTTAACAGGAAAAAGTTCAATAAATAACCATTTTTCTTCTGTTTTCAGATTATTGATATTCGAGATATACTCAGAGCCGTTACAATAGATCAAATGAGGGATGTTTACATAGTACAGTGTTTAATGGAAACTGATCTTTACAAGCTTCTTAAAACGCAGGTGAGTAGAATTTTTATATGGATCATTTTAAAAAAAATCTGTTTGTTAAACTGTTGAATTCTAAAACATTTTTAAAATGATTTGGGAGTAGGAGAGAGAAATTTTCTTGAACCTTACGATCTAGAGTTGGCAAAAGCCCGGATTTTTGGAAATTTCTTTTGGGGTTTTGGGTTTTCGCGGAGAATTCTGTAACTGAGAAGCTTGGAAATGGTATTTCTTGAACCTTAAAAATTTTCCAGAAATGACACTGAGAAAGTTTTTGCCTCACAGCTCCAACAATTTTCATTCGATTTCAATGTAATTGAGCTCTGTTTGAAGCCAGTTGAATTATCTACAAAACTTTCAATTTGGTTTCGACAGTTTTGCACCTAAGAAGCTTTAAAATTGAATTTGTCGAACATTGAAAATTTTCCAAAAATTACATTGAGACGGTTTTTGCCTCACAGCTCCGTTAGTTTTCATCCGATTTCAATGTAATTAACGAAATAATTAAAGCCAATTAAATTCTCTACAAACCTATTGATTAAGATTTTGATTTAGTTTCAACAGTTTCGCATCTGAGAAGCTTCAAAATTGAATTTATCGAACATTGAAAATTTTCCAATAAATGACACTGAGACAGTTTTTGCCTCACAGCTTCTTCAATTTCCATCCGATAGCGCAATAAGTCTCTAATTGAAGCCAATTTAATTCTCTACAAACCTATTAATTGAGATTTCAATTTGATTTCAACAGTTTTCCACCTGAGAAGCTTCAAAATTAAATTTATTGAACATTGAAAATTTTTCAAAAATGACACTGAGACAATTTTTGCCTGACAGCTCTGTTAATTTTAATCTGATTTCAATGTAATTAACCTCTAATTAAAGCCAATTAAATTCTCTACAAATTGAATTAATCCAACATTGAAAATTTTCCAAAAATAACACTGAGACAGTTTTTGCCGTACAGCTCCATTTTTTTTTCCTATTTTAATGTAATTACGCTCTTAGTAAAGCCACTTAAATTCACTACAAACCTGGCAATTAGGGTTTTAATTTAGTTTCAACAGTTTTGCTGCTGAGAAGCTTCAAAATCGAAATTATCGAACATTGAAAATTTGCCAAAAATGACACTGAGACAGTTTTTGCCTCATAGCTCGGTTAATTTTTATCCGATTTCAATGTAATTAAGCTCTAATTAAACCGAATTAAATTCTCTACAAACCTATTTATTAAGATTTCAATTTGGCTTCAACAGTTTTGTACCTAAGAAGCTTCAAAATTGAATTTATCGAACACTGACAATTTTTCAAAAATAACACTAAGACAGTTTTTTCCCCACAGCTTCGTTAATTTTTATCCGATTTTAATGTAATTAAACTCGATTTGAGGCCAGTTAAATTCTCTACAAAACTTTAACCAAGATTTTAATTTGGTTTCAACAGTTTTGCACCTACGAAGCTTTAAAATTGAATTTATCGAATATTGAAAATTTCTCAAAAATGACATTTGAGACAGTTTCTGCCTCACAGCTCCGTTAATTTCCATCCGATTTCAATGTACTTAAGCTCTAATTATTAAAGCCAACTAAATTCTCTACAAATCTATAAATTAAGATTTTAATTTAGTTCCAACTGTTTCGCACCTAAGAAGCTTTAAATTTGAATCTTTACTTTTGTATGTAAGATTGTTTGATTAATACCTATTAGTTGACTATTTTTCCTTGGGATTTTTATTTGGTTTAATATAGATAAGAAAAATGTGAATAATCTCAGATTTTGGCATTATGGTAGGAATGAGCTCTGTATGAGTAGATTTTTGTGTCAAAAAACCCACTGTGTTTTTGAAATGGGTTTTTGTGGATGCCAACCCTGTTACGATCACAAACGAAAAATGGTTGCACAATTTTGTTATCGCAAAATTCATGTAGAATAACAGACAAATTACTGCAATGCCGCGGGCTGAACATCAGGAAAATGTTAATAGACCAAGTTAATTTACATAAATGTTAAAATTGTGGCTTGGAAAAGCAACCCGCGGCATAACCCGCAAATTGAAATTTAAACGAACACACGTTGAACAAACAAAGGCCTGGGGAAGGGGGTGCTATATCATCCACCACTTTGCTAACATCGAAAGCTCGATCGAAAGTCTACTTTCTTTTCAAAGTTTTTTTTTTATTAAAAAAAACAATCGGCGCCTGCTTGGGGAGAGTTTTACTGATAAAATAATTCCTCCTGGAAAAAGTAATTTAATTTTTTCTTACGCTGACAACGGAATGATTCCTATACATCTTACAAAAAAAAATGCCTCTTTTCCATTTTACATTAATCGACAAATCTCTAATCAAAAAGCGGTTCTGGTAATTGTAATCTTGAATTGGGTAGGACAAAAACAGCTAATTCAATATCGTTTTTCGTCCTTGTCACTCAGCTATTTGATAATTCCAAACGCATAGTTTGTTGGCCAAGTTCAAAAGATTGGTCCAACAAAGGTCTACCCTTTTGTTTTTGCAATTTCAAAATCCCAATTTGCAATTTAATTTCGTGTTCGGTAATTTTCATAGGGATTCCGGATCCGTGTTCCTCGTCAGAAAAACAAAACTTTTTTTCAAAACATGATTAGTCAAATTGTTTTTTCATTTACCATCTGTCTCCAATAATTTCTATCTGAAGATAGTTATTAAGTAGAGTTAAGGGAACTTTTTCTTCAAATAATTCACCATTTATATATGACAAGAGCGAAAAAACTATTGACATGAATTTGATTGTAATTAAAACTCCAGTTGTTAGCGCAGAACACTAAAACAAAAACCCTGTGTGGACGAAAACGGAAAACGTAATTAAAATGGCTTATCAATAACGAGAAACAGTTATTGCGAAACAATGAAACGAGGACAATAAAAGGGGCGCTCTTTTAATTATTCCACACCAATGGATACATTTAATTTCCTGGAACTTGGCCGCATGCGGTTTTTAAAGCTGGAAATAATCGTAACTGTGTAAATAAACTCAATACGCCAATTTTTAATGTAGTTTTTAATTTGACTTTTTTTTTCAGAGATTGAGTAACGACCACATATGTTACTTTCTCTATCAGATCCTTCGAGGACTAAAGTACATACACTCAGCGAACGTACTTCACCGGGATCTAAAGCCTAGCAACCTGCTCCTCAACACCACCTGCGACCTCAAAGTAAGTGCTGTCCTTGTATGTTTGAGGCTTTGAATTAAATCCTTACCAAAGCGTGTAAAAAAACGTTTCTGTTTGAAAAACTAGATGACGTCAAAGGATTTTAATTATTGTGAAATTTTGTCGAGTAGAAATTTCTCAAATTTTCTTTGATTTGAATTGAATGGTTGATATAGGTTGATTATAATTCCATGGTTGGCTAATGCCTCATTATAATAACGTTTCCTAATTGCTGATAGCACAATTCCTTCATTATCAATGCAATTAGAGGCGAATTAAGGAAACACATTATTTTATTTTCAAAGACGATTTTCTTATGAAAAAGAAAAACGGGCAGCAAATCTTTACTCATCATAAGTAGCGTGAATTTCAATTTCTGTTGTGGTTATTTTTAGTGATGTTGTATCACTAATTTGATGTCAAGTAACCGGGTAATTTAGATTCTTATTTCAAAATCTTAAATCTTCAATATCTCAATATTCGTGAGGGATATTGAATCTAAATTTTCAACAGTGCATATAAAAATATTTTCAGGTTTATAGTCTTTGAGAAAATTGAGTTTGAAGTTTTGACTAAATTTCGACTGAATTAAACTTTGAGGCTCTATTGCTCAAAAAGTATTTGAGCTATCAAACTCAATTTAGCACAGATTCAGAGAGAATTTGATACTCTTTCTAATAGTGTATAATTTATTTTAATTTGTTCAAATTTTATTGGAAATATTGGCAAATTATCAAAAAAAATAAATTCAGACCCAAAAATGAAATTTTCTTTTTGGAACTGATGTTAGGGTTTGTGGACATCACACTATCCTTCTTTTTTTTAACTCTTTGCATTGTGACAAATACCTGGCTATTGAGAATGCAAAGAGAATATCTCGACTTCGATTTCCATAAACTATTTTATTTATCAAGGAGCCGTTTCAGCAATAAAATAAATAGATGTGGCTATATTTAGCCCAGAACAGAAATCTGTAAAAGTGACGAGAATTATATAAGTGCATTACCATGGATTTTAACTTTTGTCTAGGAATCAATAGGGCTATATAGTTTTGTATCCGGAAATAGTATATCAAATTTCATAATTTCTGAGAGTGTGGACAGTTCAAATTAAGTGAATTAATAAAATATGAAATTGCCCCAGCATAAGACAATGAAATATAAATTCTCAAAATTCTTCCTGAATTAATGTTTGCACCATGCATATTTTATTCTAATGGTTGGGTATGTTGCTTTTTTACAACATTTGTTGTTTTTACACTGACTTCTGTTTAGGAGGCACTTTGGTAAAAATTTTTATAGAAGTAAACATGTATTGATAAAATTGGCTCATGTTGCTCTTTGATTTTTAAATATTGACTTATTCATTTAAATTAATTTCTTTAATTTAGATTTGTGATTTCGGCTTGGCAAGAGTCGCAGATCCTGACCACGATCACACAGGATTTTTAACAGAATATGTAGCAACAAGATGGTACAGGGCGCCAGAAATTATGCTCAATTCAAAGGTAAGAATTCTATGTGTTTGAATGTAGAAATCTATGTATTTGGTTTTGACATATTGAAGACACATAAGTAGTAGGTATTTAATTATTTTTTCTATCTTATCTAGGGTTATACTAAGTCAATTGATATTTGGTCAGTTGGTTGCATATTAGCGGAAATGTTGGCCAACCGACCGATTTTTCCTGGGAAGCACTACTTGGATCAACTTAACCATATTTTGGGTGTGCTAGGATCCCCATCTCAGGACGATTTAAATTGTATTATTAATGAAAAGGTGTGTGTTTCTGTGAACAAAAATGACGGACAAGATCCAAATATTTCGATTTTCTAGGCCAGAAGTTACTTACAGTCGTTACCGTACAAACCTAAGGTTCCTTGGGCGAAATTGTATCCGCACGCAGATCCTAGAGCCCTCGACTTATTGGATAAAATGCTTACCTTCAATCCGCATAAGAGGATAGGAGTGGAAGAATCATTAGCTCACCCTTATTTAGAACAGTATTATGAACCGTCTGATGAGGTAAGTACAAATTTTCTGTTTTAGAAAATATGGTTGTGGAAAAAAAATTCAGCTGTTTTTGTAGTTTTCTAGCAAGATTTTTTTGAAAAGGAAATAATGTAGAAAAACATGTCACAGGTATTGTGGCACTTGTGATTTTTGTATTTATCCTTTTTATCATGTGAAATATACATAATATACAGGGTGTCCCACGGTGGATGGCGTATTAGACGTTTATGGAGAACTAAAAAACAGATCATTTTGAAAATTTGACAACTGTGATAAACGACCATAACCTACATTTTAAAAATATTTTAGTTTATGCGGTGTTGCCGCTTCTACTCTAAACCAGTGGCAACATCGCTATTTTAAATGGAACACCCTGTATGTGATTGCATATTTGGATTCTACGTAAAATTCTGAGCAGATTTCATGTGATATACCCTATATAGTTCAACTGTTTTGGAAATATTAACAGTTGAAAATTGACTTTTTGCAACTTTGACAGGCTGTAAAGCCTGAACGGTTAATTTTAGAGGAAAACCGATTTTATATTCCTATCTTAGATTTTTATAAACTATCATTTGACACCAACTGTGACTTTAATCCATGATTAAAAATTCCAATTAAATTTAATCTCCGGTTAAATTTAAAATTGGTGTCAAATTATAGTTTATGAAAGTCTAAGATGGGAATGTAAAATCGGTTTTCCTCTAAAATTAACCGTTCAGGTTTTACAGCCCGTCAAAGTTGCAAAAAGTCAATGTTCAACTGTCAATATTTCCAAAACAGTTGAACTTAGGTATAGGGTATATCACACGAAATCTGCTCAGAATTATATGTAGAATCCAAATATGCAATCACATACAGGATGTTCCATTTGAAATAGCGATGGTGCCACTGGTTTAGAGTAGAAGCGGCAACACCGCATAAACAAAAATATTTTTAAAGTGTAGATTATGGTCGTTTATCCCGGTTGCGAAATTTTCAAAATGATCGGCTTTTTAGTTCTCCATAAACATCTAATACGCCATCCACCGTGGGACACCCTATATTGTTCTTTGAAAAAAATATATTTGTATGTATAAATGGTTCCTAGACGAGTGACCCTACTCTTCCAAAAGACAAGAATGTATCACATAACAACTCATTGTCTTACGATCGACTCGCTTTCCACTAGTTATCCGATTATCAATGCTCAATTTTAGAGATCCTGATTCTAGACTAGACTCCGTTTTATAGCGCGCCGATATCACTAAAATTGTCGATTTCGCTTGACCGTTGAATTCCATACACGAGTGTTGCAAGATTGTCTACAACTTTCCCCAACCTGAGAGACTTATGACGATCAATAATGTTTATTGGAATATAAACTTGCCAATGTATTCAAATTTCAAACAACAGAACTATAACTTGTGTATAACTAAAAAGTGGAAATAAAGCACTCTTAGGAAGGTCAAGGCAACAAATGAAATATGTTAATCGATTTTCTAAAAATAGAACTGATGCCTTCGCTTGGACATCTGTAAAATCTTAGATATTATTTTAAATCTAAACGCATACTACTTTAGATTTTATACACTTTCATACAGGTTAAGATGCGGCAATAATGAAATGAAGATTTATTCAAGACAATTTATCAATAAAAACTATTTTCAAAAAGGCACACCAATTAAAATTAATTGATGTTATAATTGAACTTTTCAGCCTATTGCCGAGCAACCTTTTCGCTTTGACACTGAATTGGACGATCTACCAAAGGATCACCTCAAAAAGCTGATATTCGAGGAAACGTTGCTGTTCAAACAAAGACAAATAAATGCAGAAGCAAAACATCAGCCAATGAATACGTCATAGTCGTCATTTGGGATAATTTAAAGCAAAACAAAACACTATTGATAATGGAATGTCTAAAATATTGCTACAATTTTTTCTTTACCAGTTATTCTTTTGTAAATCTGCAAAAAATAGCCATTAAAATTGCATTTTAGTCTCCTTTATCAATGAAAAACGTTCACTTTGCGCTTCACCTATGGTTTTGTTTTACCTTTTGTTGGTAGGACCTTGCCTCCCCTGATGAGCCGTCGCTACTTCTTTTCAAATAAAGTTTCAAATCACACATTCTGGCAATATTTTAGACATTCAAAAACTGAATTAATATTTATTTACCGTTATTGAAAATTCAAAAATAAGATAATGTTTCGGTGAAGGCGAGAACTAGATTTTTTTTAAGGAAATTTATCAATTATTTTAGCTTTAGATATTCGTTCAGGTTTAAACGCGATGTCGGTAAGTATACATTGGTTAGTGAATTAAATGTCTTTTGTTGTTAAATTTTAAATTCATCTAATTGATGATTTTTATTGGGAAATAATTTCCAACATATAAGAATATATTTATTTTTTCTTAAGATTCTTCAGTGGTGACATAAAACCTTGCGTTATTTATTTCCAAATTAAATTTGCCCATCAGAACAAACTATATCAGTGTTAATCAAGGAGACCTCTCACCACTGAAGCTAAGATGCTCATTTTACATTATTTCAGGTGTTATTTATGTTTGTATAATACTAGTTTCATTACTTGAAAGTTAATGATTGTTTTTTTTTCTAAGTTTATGTGTACAGATTTCTTTTTAAATTGTAGTTTTGTTATAACAAAAAAGAAAAATATTAGAAGTATAATTAAGAGCAATGAAAATACAATCTATTTTTGAAATCTAGGTTTTGTAAAACATGTGGTTGTGTCAAAAAAAAATTACGCACAGTCTCATTTCTGTGTTTTGAAAGTCACCCGTAGAGTTTTTCGGTTAATTTATTAATTTTTGTTTTTGGAAAATATCAAAATATCATGAATTAATGAGGTTAGGATTTTTAATTTATATCGAATGTTAAATGCAGGGCGATCAAAACCTCACTGGAAATTTTTAACATGAGATGATCTATGAGCTTATTCCAAGACATTAATAGTCGTTTTTTACAGTAGACACTGGGTTATTTGATATAATTCAGGGTGTGGTCATAAAAAATCAATTTTCAGGATGTTTACACTTTTTTCTACACGAATTTTCCATTCGAGGACGTATTAGTTTATCAATGCCCTCGAATGGAAAATTCAAGTATTAAGAGGGACTTAACATCCTGTGTTCAGAAGTTTCATGAAACATTTCAAGAGCCATCTGAGTGTGAACTCTGGAATAAGCTCAGAAACCATCTCTGATATTTTTTCAACACCCTTTCTGGGTACATACTCTCAACTTTGTAATTGCATTTTTATGGATTGTATTCTAATGGGTGCTACAAATCGTAAGTTTTTGTGTGGGGATCTCGGAAACCATAGAATTTATGCAAATTTCCAGGGGAAAAAACGCATTTGTTCAACCAGTAGATTGAAAAGTTCGTATAAACAAATTCTTAAAATTACCTTGACTATGAAAAGGCTATAAAGTCACAACAAAAGAGTTTGTATTTTTTTGTGCCTTATGGTAGTTGAAATCTCCACACAAATACTCTATTTTGTAGCACTCTGTACATTAAGTTTTCTTACATTTTGCAAGGCCAAAAACATCACCTGTGTCTTTATATGTTAAGTATTTATTTTAATAATATTGAGTTACTTTTTATATTTTAATTATTATTGAAAAAAAAAAACCGTGTAAATAGTTAATATGGTACCTTTTTAAAATAATAAATACTTAAAACATTTATCTCATTATTAAACATTTTATCTGTGATTATCCATTGGTGTTTTTTCTCTCTCTCATGTTAATGTGTGTATACCGAACTCTTGTGACATTTCGTTTTAATTTCCACGACATAACGCTAAGTTCTAGCAAAACTGATCTGGATGGTACCGAAACCGAAGTGTTCATTTACATTGTATCAGAATTGTGCAAAATTTTGCCAGATCACATTACTTTTTTTGTAAGGCAGTTCTGAGAACATAGTGAGTTGCAGTTGCAATAAATAGTCCATTGAAAGCGCTTTAAAACGAAACGTCATAAATATTAAGTAGTATCATAGGAATGTATTTGATATCCATTTATAAGGGTATCTTTTTGAGCTGGTACCATGATGATGTTTTCAATGTAATAACAATAATTCATAATCTCCCCTGGAGGTAATTATTTTTGATACATTAGACTTGCCTCTGTGACATCCACAACTTTTTTTTTTAATGCACCTATGTTTTTGATAAATTCCATCAATTTCCTAATTTAAAACAAAAACTACATTCTGATGATACAGGCAAGTTATAGTGTTTCTGTTTCACGCCAAAGCAGTCAACCTAAAACTAAATTTTTGATTTCACATTCAATGTGACTAGTCCTACAGATTACAAAGGGGCAGTTCTCGAGATCAAGAAAAACTTTTAAAGCAATATTTATATGAAACTACCTCAGATTAAAATCGACAAAGTAAAGTGTCCCTTGCTGAAAAATAATTATTATTGATAATGTTTGCTTCTCGTTATGATTGAAACTAAGAACTGAAGACTGTTCTGTGGAGATTGGAATCCAAGTTTTAACACAAAAACAAAGATGTTGCAATTTATTATCAACTGTGACTTTCTAATGATTTGGCATTCCCTCTCTAACAAGATTATTTGCTCGTTTGGCGTTTCACAATACTAGATATCAATAATCCACCAAGTACAGCTTTTCTGCGTTAATTTTTTTGTGGAGGATTTTTTTTTCTTATGCAGAGAGCAAGAATGTTTAAATAACCAAATTGTTCTTATTATACCTACACACTTCAAGTGTTATTATTCATCTTTGAAAACCTTAAAATTATTGCAGCTTCATTATCATTTACCAATTGTTATTATCAATTCTTAGAGTAGGCATAGAATCGATTGACCAGGAGGGTTTCTTCTTGCTTGAATAAAATCTATTTTTTCCTTTGTCAAGTTTTTATACAATTTAAACCAACTAATGGATCGATAAAAGAAGAGGTACAACATTGTGCTCAAACTATTGATGAACAAATATTTTTGTAATTAAAAAAATCAATGCAATGCAAAAATTATTGAACCTTCTTGTATCGATGAAGCGATGTAAGGGGGTGTTCCAGGTAGAATTTTTTAAATTGCGAAGTAGTAACTTCAATTATATGTTCTAAATTAAATTTAGCCATATTGCATATTGGTTTCACAAAATAAATACACGATAATGGGAATTTCACCTGGAACATTCTACAACATGGGATGCTGTCAATTTGGAACAAAACAAAAAAGACCTTGCAATTATTAATAATGAGAAATAAGTAAATCAAACGTTTTGTTATTATTTTAATTCCACTGGTGCCGTCAACTGAGATAATAGAAGTTAATGAAATAAATGGCCTAAATAAAAAAAAATGTTGTTACATACATACTGTTACGATTGTTGTATTTCATTATGGTAGTTCTCAAATTGTAATTCTCATTACGTGTACCTATATTAATAAAATTACCTAATCTTATTTTTGTGTTGTTTATTTTAAAAGAAATTAAGGATTTTGTATAAATTGTGTTCCCTAGGGAGTACTTTCCATGTGCTTGGAAATTTCCTTTAATCCCTTCAGCCAAACTAGCCCAAAACGATCCCAAAGGTTTCAAAAACATAGCATTTCTTATCCATTAGTGTACCTATATAGGGTAGTCACCAGCCATATAACTCTGCAACTACTGGGCATTGAAATTGAGGTAGAAAAAAATTGAGATGAAAATGGCCACGAGAGAATCCTGGAAATTATTTTTAAATTTCCTTTCGAACATTATTTAAAACCCCTAAAAGGCTACTGATGGTAATAGGGACAGGAGACTGATGAATGGAATGGGGTATGAGGAAAATTTCAATTTTCCTGGTTTCAAATTCCACCTTTCTGTCAAGTTTTTCGAAGATTCTAAAAAATATGGAGGATATTTGGGTGCACATTGCTCTCCGTGGATATGATGTTGTGGTTGGTTGCATCTACATTGCCCCAAACTCTGCTGTCGTAACATACCAAGAATTCATGGTCAGGGTTCAGATACTTCGAAACAGGTATCACAGAGCAGCGTTTTTGATAGTTGGGGACTTCAACCTTCCCCTTATAGAATGGTGACTTGAGGTGCTTTCTAGCTCTAGCACAATCGAGAACCTTAGCTGAAGAAACCTTCATTGAGTCAATGTATTACTTGTATTACATTTTAAAAATTATTTGGGCAGGATCTTGGACTACATACTAATTGACAACATCTAAACTTACTCGAACAAAGCAACCATCCTTTGGTCAAGTGCGATCCTTACCATCCAGCCCTCGAGCTTACCTTTGACACCGGTGTGACGGCAATAGTGATGGCATTCAATTTTCATACATTCATCGACGAATCTTCTAACCTGGATGAGATAGTGGAATAGTGGATAGTTCCAGGAACAAGTAAGTACTACAAAAAATACAAATACTCCAGGAGTCCTCACGATTATACGATTTATTCAAACCTGCGAAGGGAAGTGGAATATCAAATAGATCTTTGCTATGCCATCTTTATATCATACATGAAGCATATACTACCTACAAATATCAAGCACTTTTGGCCTACATTAACTCCTTAAGAAAGGACTCGGGCATTCCAGCTACACTTCAACATAATGGGCAAGTTTTCGCCGTCAATCAGGCCATTTCCGATGTTTTTGCCACCCACTTTCAATCTTGCTACAAAGACTACAAAGGAGCATCGATCCAGGAAGATTTCAACATACCCTTTGTCTCTACGCTATTCTCCTATGACTACTTGGAAAATAATATCGAATCAACAAGCTAAAGCAATTGGACAGCTCCAAGGGTCCAGGTCCTGATGGCATTCCCCCTCTGCTGCCTCAAAAATGTCACCGTTCCATGTCAAAACTTCTGTGCAAATTATTTCAAAGATCTTTCCAGACTGCTGGAAAAAATCAACTATTTTTCCAATTTTCAAATCTGGCGACAGGAAAGACGTTCGTAATTACAGAGGAATTTCCCCCCCAGCTATCCCCAAATTACTAGAGGCCATCATTTCAGAGAAGATCTTTGAAACATATAGGGTTTTTATCAGCGTCGATTTACAGCAACAAGCCTGGCCGTTTATCAAAACTACCTGGTCCATTCACTGGAAGCTGATCACAAATTCACTTCCTGAATTTATTTATGTGATCTGGCAATTCATTGTGTAGTTTTTTTATAATAGGAAGCTAGTTTTCGTGTTGTTAATGTTCATTGAAACTCTGTCATTTGATATTTCTCAAGTTCAAACAAAGCAGACTGGAGCAAGACTATTTTAATATACTTTGATCAAATTTGGCTAATTTTATTCAATATTACTTATTTATTAAAAAAAAAAAACAATAGATTTAGAATTCTTCTATAAATCCGCTTCGAATTCTGGCAAACCTCTAACGCCTAAATTCGTGACAGCGTACAAACTTCCAGCTCCGGGTTGCCCTTCTCTTTCCTTCAGCGTCAACGATCTCTTTGCAGTTGTGACAAACAGCACGTCCAAATTAGGCCCGCCCCAAGCTACGGAAGTGGTATATTGAGCTGGAATCGGAATGCGCCTCAGCAAAGTCCCTTTTGAAGGGTTAATTTCGATAACAGATCCACCATTATACAGAGCTATCCATAAGTTACCGTTTTCATCAATGGTCATTCCTGAAAATTAATGCATTAGATTCGTTTGTATCGAGAATACAATGTGCTTACCATCTGGATACCCCATTTTTTTCTCTTTAGTACTAAACACCACCTTCTTGTTAGCTATGCTACCATTTTCCGCATAATAATCGTATTGTACCACTTCTTCGCTGGGAGTATCGATGTAATAAAATAAGGTACCGTCCAAACTCCAAGTCAAACCATTGCTTATGCTTATTTTCGGTATCACAACAGTGGGAGTTTTAACGTTGTCTTTGGAGAACTTGAAGAGGGCCCCGGCGTTAAGTTCTAGTGATCCGTTTGAGGGTTCATGACCCATTGTACCAATCCATACCCTACCTCTGCTGTCAGCTTTTCCATCGTTGAAACGATTTTTTGGCTTTTCGTTTTGTACTGTGTGTAAAATGTGCGCTTCCGCCGATTTATTGTAAAGGGCTATTTTTGCTAGGTTTCTGTTCAATCCGGCAATCATCACGTTCGGATTGTTTTTGGTGAGAATTATAGGAGTAAGATCATTTCCTAAAAAAAAAAGCTGATGTTAAAGGCAGATTTTGATCGAATAATTGCAAATTCTTGTCTCAATGCATAAGATGTATCGTTTCTGTATAAGTTGTTGAATGGTATGATCGACTGCCAAGAGCTAGTGGCATCAATCTAAATCCAGGTTCCAATAAGAATCACTAGACTCATATTATTCTCAGCGTCGCCTTAATGGAACAAATGGTGCCTTATATGATTCAAGCCAGTCAATTGTAATCATAAAAAAAAAAATTCCACAGTCTTTGTGTTATTCATGGGCGTCGTTTGGGGGGGCAAGAGGGGGCATTTGCCTCCCCCTAGAAATAGTATTTTGAACAAGAAAGCCGTAAAGGAGGGTTCGTACCGATGGTTGAGTTTCAACCTTCGGTTGGATCCTATCAATTTGCATGGAGTAAACCGAATGTTGAAACTGAACCATCGGCTCAGTGCAGAACCGTAGCCAGGGGCGCATTGGGGGGCAATGTCCTATCTTTTAAATGATGATACCCTACCTTTAAAAATCAACATGCATTAAGGTTTCTCTAGAAAATTTAAGAGTAGATAATGCCTGAAGTAGAAAGGCCAGAAATCGAGTAAGTGAGGATGAATGTTTCCGAAAACGCCTTAAGTCGCCTAAATGCTTTGAATATAAAACTAGAGGAAGGAGCGTTGTCTATCTGTCACTACAAACAAAAAAGGGACGGAAGCGGCCATATTGAGCCTCCAAGTTTGACTCATCATTTGTTTTGGTGGTTCGCTGTGTCCTCATTCAAGTGGATGTTTAATGGATTTTAGCGGTTTTAAGTGCGATAATAAGCACTGGGATTAGTGCGAAAAGAGTGAGTCATAATACTGACAATCATATTTAAATAAATATACGCCACTGCCAAACCGGAAACACTAGTCGGCCATATGCAACCTCCACATATTCTGGTCCCGCAGATTCCAGGTTATGCTCCTTCCTGTTGTTTTATATTCAAAGCCTAAATGTAATGAACAATGTTTGACATTTGCACAGAGGAAGATTTTTTGTTTTGAAAGAGTACGAATGGCCCAAGGCGGCCGGCGAGGGAATCAGCGCCATTTTGTTTACTTGCCAGAAATGTTATTTATTGCAGGGTTGTTTGATAGAGGCGAGAGAGGTAGGTTGAGGTAACTTTATGACGTCGTCTAGGGTGCCTTAACATAATGCAAATCTCTATAAGTTACCCCAGATCAGATGCGTCATCAAGTTACCCATTATCAGACAAACCTGAACCTTGATTTATTGAAAAGTTTGCCTTCGGCAATCTGCGCCATTAGCCCCATTTTGTTTACCTATAAAAAATTTAAGGAGGGGGCAAGTAGTGTAAGCCCTATGTCAAATTTGTCATGCCCTATCATAAATTTGACTCTAGCTACGGCCCTGATTCAGTGTTTTATAATACCGGTCATTAGACAATTACCCAAACAAATGATGCGGACAGTGAATTTGTTGCGGAAAAAAATACCATCATTTTTAACTATCGATATCGAATAAGTACGTTAAAATGCTCAAAAAAGGGGCGTGGCACCGAAAAAAATTTTGGCGCTATTGGAACTGATCTTATTATGGTGCTGCCCCCCCCCTGAGAAACCTCGTAACGACGCCCATGGTGTTATTGAAAGGAATGCGAGAGAAAATCCGACCCTTGACTCTGAAAGTAGCCAAAAAAATATATTTTTTCTTTTGTCATTAGAGCAGGGTTTAAGTGGCATACTTATTAAGTACTCCTTGTTTGAGATTACAGCAAATTTATAGTGATAAGTGTTTGCGGGTGCTAAAAGTTATGAAGATACGAGATTGCAGGAAAGTGTGCAGGAATGTGAGCTGGTGGCACCCTACATTAAAACGCCAATGTTCACCTGACGCCACACCTGTTTCTTCCATATACCTACTTCACCCCCTCGCTCTTCATACAGAAGGTGTCAGATAAAAATCGACGAACAATAAGTGCACCTCTTCAATTTGTGGAACAGTGATTCATCAGATTCAGTGATGGAAATGGATTTACTACACTTCAGCAATTGAGATCTGGTATATAACTGAACTAATTAACTATTACTTGGTGCGCCGCTCAATTTTAATTTAGGTATACCATATTTCTTACCCAGAACCTATGGATTCTTTCAATATTTATCAAGACTTACACAAGGAATGTCTTAAAAGTGAAGACCAAAATTATTAACAATTCCTCTTCATCGTGCATAAAATTTTGTGTTGAACTCAGTTATCAACGATCAAAACCCTCGAGGCGTTAATCGCTTACTTCACGGCGTAGATACATACCTACCTAACAATTATAGTAAATATACCTTTGGTAAATCAACGCTGCTATACAGGGTGTTTTCTGATTAAATGTCAATATTTCAATGATTATAAAAATTCAAGAAATTTAATTGAATGAGAAAAATTTTCTTGCTAATATTTCCTTATTATTACTCCTTTTATAATATTTTTCCTCTATTCCAGACGCTAGGCTCTCAGGTTTTTAAATTGTTCTGAAGCCTTTCAAAATGCTACTGGAAAGTGTTTTGGAACGTTCTAAATTGCTTATTGAAGTTCTAAAGTGTTCTAACTTGGCTTGAAGAGTTCTGGAGCATTTAGAAGTTTTTCAGTAATTTGTAAATTATCCTCACAGATTTTTAGGTATTTTAGAGCCCTATATTGAATGTTCAAAGTGTTCTAAATTGGTTCAAAAGAATTGTAAAAGGTTTCCAGTTCTAATAAATAATTGAATCCTTGTGCTGAAATAACTCTGAAGTTTCTAAATTTGTCGAATATGCTCCTGAAAGTTCTGATTTGGATTTTGAACTGTTTTGTATGATTATCAAAGGTTTATAGTTCTACAGCAATTTAAATTCGGTCTTGAACGCCTTCTCAAAGGCCTTTTGTAACTTTTAACCTGAATCTTAAGATTATGGCGCTTTTCAAAATGTTTCCGCAGATTCTAGAGTATTTGAGCGTTTTGGAGCATCCTTAAACGTGTTTCAAACTTCTGAATTTTTCTTAAATGCTTTTGGAAATTGTAAATCGGTTTTTGAGCATTCTAAAATGGTTCTGAAGTTTCCAAATTGTTCTGAAGCGCTACAGAATACTTTTCAATTTTAAGTGTTTTGAACTTTCCAAAAGGCTTATTAAAGTTCTAAAGTGTTCTGTAGCATTTTAAATGGTTTCCAGTAGGTATCTTGTAAATTGAATGAGAAACGAATTCTGTGGGAAGTTTTTGTAGGCATCTCAAAAACGTCCCTGAGATGTCCACAAACGACATTCAAGTCATCTTAAAGACGTACATAGGGTGCTTTCTTTTATTCAGTGGTGGATCCATCGGTAATCAGCCTTTCTTTGTCTAGCTCATGGAAAATTGGAATGTCTGTTCCATAATGCTGGCAGCAGATGGATCCATTGCTGAATAAAAGAACGCGCCCATATGTTCCAAACCCCAAAATCCTTCAAACGTCTGCCTAAAAACGTCTTTATAACATTTTTTCAAGACATTCTAATTTCTAAAGACGTCTTCAACGAGATGTCTTAAAGACATCTTTCATTCTATTTTTAATACATAAACCAATATTCACTTTTAGGCCCGGTTGTATCAAATAGGGTGGTTCAGTTGCCTTTAAGATGTGAATTTACGACATCTCATGGACGTCTTTTTTTGATCATCGGACATTGAGAAGCAATGCAGACGTAAAAAACGTTATTAAGAGTTTGTGTGCTGTCTGAGTACGAACGCCACTGGCGTGGTACATTAAAAAATGCATCTTGATACATACACGTTTGCCAAATTAAAATACCTAAAGTAGTGTTACAGATATTAATAATAAATTATTTAATTTTGAAAACTTTATCAACCTGTATCTCGTTGAGGACATAGGTACGTTCATATAAAGTTTTTTGCGTAAAATGGACTTTAAAATATTTCTGAGACATGGAAGTGATTTCCGTTATTAAAGCCACCGCGCTGTCTAGACAAAGTAGGTAGGTAGGTACTTACCAGAGAATTCAGCAGCAACATCCATAGTTTGCTTGTCATAATCGTAAGCCATAATTCTGCCATCGTGAATATCAACGAAAAACAGTTTTCCCACTCGTCTGTCCCATACAGGAGATTCTCCCATATTTACCGGTTCGGTAACTTGAGTTACAGATGGCTGGTTAAAGTTTTGGGCCATGTTTCTAATCGAATATAATAATTATTTATAAATGAAAGATGTCCTAAGTTGTAAATTTCACACACTTAAATGATTATCCACTTAAAAATTATCTAATTAAATATGTTACAATGTGTGTGTCTGGTGAGGTGAGAGATAAAAAAAAACTATCGTTAAACTTTTTTGTGACACAAAATAACTGATGATTTAAAAAACAGTACCTATATGATTGAGGATCATTGACAATTCTTGCATTAGAAAATCTCTTATGTAACTATGTATATCCGTGGGCAAGTATAATAATATAATTATTTAATTCAATTATATTGCTTACCCTTGAACCCAACAACAAAAAGCCAATATGTTAACCCAACACCGCATACTTTCAAACAAAGCGACCACTGACTGAAGATTGAGCAATGATTGTTGCTTATCTCATTGCGGCTTTTTTTTTTGTTATGCCTACACATTCTTCTTCTTTCACCTCTCTTGCTTTGCTTAATGGATTATTATTCTGTATACGGCGTACTGCAAATTATGGTTTACAGATACCGGCATGGGTGTTTCTTATCAAGAAAGTAGGTTGCATTAACATTTTCCAAAAATTAAAACCCAAACGTGAGATTTGTGGCTTAACACTATAATTGAGTAAAAGTGCCAAGCTGATAACTATATATTGAGGAAATTGGCATATTTTTATAAACATATACGTACTCGATGAAAGAAACTTTATTATAAGGTACCTACCTATTACAAATCAAAACGGTAGTTCTTTATTGTTGAAAACTCCTGTGTAATTTTTTTTTATTATTATATAAGCATGGACTGGCCAAGCGTAAAAAATAGTCACTATTAGAAACTTATATCATTTTATTTTGCAAAACCATTTGTCGTTACCATTGGGGGATTAGTTTACTTGGTGCAACGGTTCTCAGTGTAAATTTCAATCCAGCGAAAAAACGTTCGGTCTAGTTATTTCAAAATCCATTATGTTACGGTTTGTGTTGTTGATGAGTTTTTTCTTCAGCTTTTGTTTAAGGTAAATTGGTAATCTTCTATGAAATCAATAAAAACGTACTTTGAATGGTTTGAAGTTTGTAAACAAAAATATTTTGTTTTTTCTTGAGCAATCAGAGCAGTGACAATAAGTTATCATTATTTGCTCATGCAGTATCCTCCAAACTCTGTTGGAAAAGGATGTAGCTTACCCCAGATGGTTCTGTTATTATTATTGAAACGGAAAAGAGTATTTTCATTGAAAAACTCCTCCAATTGTATTGACATTGACTGAAAATCAATCTAAGATTTTACAGAGGAGATCTTAAGGTGTAATGGGTCCATGTTATTTCACCTTGCAAACCTCTATGAACGACTTCCAGGAGATTTAAGTTCGTTTTTTTCAAATTCGGGCGCTTCTGCAATTTTGCTGCAAATTTCCAAAATAGAAACTTTATAAATTAACAAAATTCCTAACAAATTCCTTCAAAGAACAATCATTGGCCTTCATAATATTTTGCATTATCCAGCTATCCATTGCAAAAATTGAAAACTAATCAGGCGCGAAAGATAGCGAATTATTTTTATGGTTCCTTTAGTTCCTGGGTGGATTGCGACCATATTGACGAATTTACGCAAATTATTTCGACCCAATATTAAAAATGTGCAATAACCAGACCAAGAAAAACTTGCGAATATAATGAATTTATTCAATCATAAGCAGTGCAATCAAATTATAGCTTCTACAATAGAAAGGCACTCTAACAAAGAAACATTATATTTCAAAACCAAGTACAATCAGTCATTTGAATAAAGTGTAGCAAATTATTTTACTCTACCTCCGCCTCATTTTGCTGCAATAAAGCTGAATATGTTTGATTTTGAGTAAAGGCATTTGCCTATATGTCGGCATCTCTGGAACATATGAGCCAATGACACTTTCATAAATTAAAGTACCTACTCAATAATTTCAAAAATATTCTAGCCAAGTAAGCAAATTCCATTCAATATATATTTCTCAAGTAGGACCATTTATTTCTATAAGTACATATTATACATATACCTACTTATAGAAATAAATGGTATATATGATACATCAAAATAAGGAATAAAAAGGAAACCCAAGATTTCCTTTCCGTTGAACAAATTATATAATTCTGGATCCAAAAGCACTGAGTGTTTAATCAAATCTGTTTTTTCTTCAGCAATTATAAAGTTGTTGATTTAAATTGGTCCTGGTTTCATATCTCTATGGTTCGGTATGAACTGTTCAACGAGTCAATTCAAAGATAGGACGCTTTCTTTTATTCAGTGATGGATCCATCAACGACCAGTCTATCTCTGTCTAGTTTATAGAAAATCGGAATAGCTGCCTCATAATGCTGGCAGCAGATGGATCCATTGCTGAATAAAAGAAAGCGCCTATAGTGTTTATAATTGCCTCATTATAAAGTTGTATTGTTAAAAAAAGTCTTGGGTTTTCAAAAATCATTTTAACTAGGTATTGAATTGTCTTGGATGAAGCGGTCTGCTATTTAGAATTTCACTTCTAATATTGGTCTATTGCTTTCTCTGTCGACCTAATGAGAAAGGATGTTAAGGCTAATGGGTCGATAGGATATGATGGACCTTCCTGAAACTTCTCTTTTACTTCTGGCCGCAAAATCACTAAAAATGTTTCTTCACCTAGGATAACTTACCTCTGTTCAATATACTTCAGTACCTATTGTTAATTTTAGTGTGAAATCACAAAATATATCCAAAGATTCACATGCAGCCCTGTCTTCTACACCAAATTTCGATTCGCCTTCAGTTTACCAGGTAACTCAACCTGTGGATCATTCAGAAGGTCCCATGTGGGATGGTGAGCTAACAAATAAACCAAAAATAGAGTATTTTTTGTCAATTTCAAATTTCAGGCAGGAAAAATATCTTGTATTACGTGGATATCCATTCAGGCCGAGTACTGAGCTACAATTATAACACAAAAAAAGTCAACTTTATTACTCTAAAAGGAGCAGTTACTCCTGTAATTCCTGCTAAAAACAATGAAAACATTTTACTAGTTGGCTTGGACAGGTCATTGGTTGCTCTAGAATGGGACGGAGAAAATGAGCTGGGAACACAAAGAGTAAATTTTATTTAACCAATAATGGATTTTGTTGTTTTACAATAATTCATTTCAGACTTTGACTACAGTCTCGCAGCAATTCCCACAAAGCCGTTTCAACGATGGTAAAGCAGATAAACGGGGACGTGTTTGGATAGGTAGGAATTTTGGTTATTTCTTGAATCAGTGATTTAGCTTTATATCGATTTCTAGGTACCATGGGTCATGAAAATGCGCAAACAAGATCTCTAGACTCAAATCAGGGCATTCTTTACAAGATGACCAGAGACAGTCTTATAAGACCCAGAGTCGAAGTAGCACCTGTGAATATAAGTAATGGTTTGAGCTGGAATAAAGCCAACAATAAGATGTATTATATTGATACACCTACACGAAAAGTGAGTAAATCTTATTTATTATTAATTTTTTTAATTAATTTCCCATTTTTTTTTTGATGATGTGACTGTGGTCGGCCAAATTATCATCTGCCAATAAAATTTAATTTCTAGATGAGTATTATTATATTCAAATTATCTTTCCAGGTGATGGAATATGATTATGACGATGAAAAAGGTGAAATTTCAAACCCCAGAATAGCTGTAGACATAACGAAATATACGACTTTGACTGGTAATCCTGACGGTATGACCATCGATCAAGATGATAATCTCTGGATAGCACTTTATTCTGGCGGATCCGTAATTAGAGTTAACCCAAAAAATGGACAACTTTTACAGGTAAGTGTAAAAGTTGAACAAAACTATGTAACAAAATTATATGATTACCTCTAGGTAGTTCCTATACCAGCCAGAGATGTAACATCGGTGATGTGGGGCGGACCAAACTTGGACATTCTTTTTGTAACAACATCCAGATTACATTTGACTGAAAACGAGAGGAAAGTGTTTCCTGCTGCAGGCAGCGTTTTCGCTGTAACTAACTTGAAACGGAAAGGGACGCAAACATATTATGCGGATTTGGTGGATTCAGTTAGAAGATCGGTAAGAATTTATTGGTTTTACTTGATTATTATTCAAAATTTTTGAATACTTTTAGAATCTTATTGATGCGATTTTGCAAAATACGAATGAGTTATTTGCTCCAGCGCCTGAAGATGTTAATAACTACCTTACTGTTGATAATTCACAGAAGAAGAGAACTGTGGAAAAGGAAGATGTCCGTAAGTGAACATACACAAGCTTACCCTTTTTTTTTAAATTAATACTTTCCTTTGTTTTTAGCGTTTTGGATGGCCATGATTAATACAATTAGAAGTATATTTTGAAAATTGGTGTAAGGGAAATAAAATTGCTTGTAAATAAATTGTGTTTAAATTTTGTATAACCGGCTACCTACCTTTTATTCCGGCTCAATAAATAGTAAAAGAAACTCTTAACACTTTTATACTTTTATAAAAAAAAAATTATTGAATAATCGAAATAATCAATTAGACTTAAAAAGTATCCTGAAGATATTCCATTAAAAAGCCATGTTTATCCTTGAGAAAACGATTTGAATGTTAGTATTTGAGTTTAATTTCAAAAGTTAAATTTAGATTCGAGCTAGTTAAAAAAATAAAATGCTTACCTCATCGCAGCGTAACTTCCGTTGCGTAACAGAACACGTAAGTTACGTTAAGGTGTGTGGCGCATGTGTGTACGCACCCTGAGGGGGCGGTCTGATATTTGGACGAGAATGGAGAGTGATTTCACTTGCAAGTAACGTCACGTTTTCGGGTAATTTCGTTACACGTTAGAGAAGAAAGATATAACGTAAAGAGACGGAGAAAGACGGCCAATGACGATGAGAGGCGACGGACGGTTGACACAAACCAAGGATTATAAGCAAAAAGGATTGCATATTATTATCAAGCGTCGATACCCTTGTGACGTCACCAAGGTCTGATATTTGGACGAAAATGAAGAGTGATTTAAAAGACGCGTTAGGCCCATTTCGTTACACGAGAGAGAAAAAAATATAATGTAGAGAGAAGGAGAGAGAGAGCTATATCTAAAACACAGGCCTTCGTGGCAAGACAGAGTAGAGGGATATAACGTAGAGAGTAGGAAATAAAGAGCTATAGCTTGTATATTATATCTAATACACAGTTTCGTTCTAATAGACAGTTTTCAGTCTAAGTCTCAGAGTCTCAGTTGCTCGAAGCGGGAATAGTTTAGTAACCATTGTACAAGCAAGAGAGAGAGAGAGCCATGTATTCACTGAATACTAGGTAATGGAAGAGAATGGAGAGTACGTGACGCGTATATGCGCAGTACAATTCTGATGTCACGGGAGTGGAGCAAGAGAGAGCGACGTATACACTTAATACGAAGCGATAGAAGTTTCACTTCTACCACGTGTACGGCGCTGTACATGATTTTTTTTGGGGAATTCTGTAGTTATTAGTACTACAATTTGAAACTTAATAGTTTCAGTATTTCTGGCTTTTGAAGTTTCTGGAACGGGACTGTTACTATGTGATATAAGTAACTTAAAACCGGCAAAGACTTTCAAGTAATATTTGATAGTCCAAGTAACTTTGTCTCTTTACTCATTTATTACTTCAAAATTTTTATTACTTTATGGTAGCATTGAAAATAAGTATGAGGTCGTTGCTAGTTTTGAAATTCCTTCAAAGTTATTGTACTATGTATTAATATTTTAGGAAGATTTATATGTCTTGCTACTCACGGAAACGCAGCTCGCAGTAATTTTTACTTTCCACTCTGTCTTAAAATTTGTTCCAGTTACTTTGAAAAACAAAAACACTTTATAGGTTCGGAAATATTATCTAAGTATTGATAAGCTATGTATCCAGGAGCACTCTCCAAATTGTCTAGGTATGGCTAGGCCAGTGAGTTCCTAAAAAGTCATTTTTCTCAATAAACATTAATTAGTGTAATAACCCATACTTTTGTATTAATTAATATTTCCCTAAGATACACTTTTATCAAAAAATAATTGTTTAGTTTCCAAGCAAACAAGAGTGGTAACGTAAAATATCAGGGTCAAACTCTGTGTCAACATAAACTTGTCGCTCTCTGAATATTACCATTGCCTTATCAATTCAATGCTTGTGGATAACAATTTTGAAGGTCTACGCGAAAGAAATTAGAATTCATTCCTTGCATGCCATTGGATTGAGCTGACCTTTCACCTGAGAAAAAAAAATATTTTCGGCAAAATGAGTTATGCAATCCACTGATAAAAGTATTTGCATGATAATTTTTTTTTTCAAATAAAAACCAACTACCTCGCCAAGTGGGTACCACAGACTTTCGCCTATGCCTCTGCTCAAGATGAATATCTTAGTTTGCCTGGCAACAATTGTTGCTATCGCCAATGGCGCCTGGATAGGTCAATTTTTGGGAGGTCCATACCATCAGTCTTTTTATGAATATCCGCAAAATCCAGAAAATTCACCACTATGGTCTGGACATGTAATTGGACAACAAAATTTGTTTTCCCCTACAATACAAGGTAAGGTTACTCAATTTCACGTCAAGTATACCTAACTTTATATATTTAGATCAGGAAATCTCCGAGCCAATTGGCAGTGAATCTAATGACGACAGCTTCAGAAACCAACTATTGTCTCATGAGGCAACAGAAACAACACAACAAAGACAACTCTTCGACTCCATTAATAAAATGGAAAAATCTATTGTACAGCCCGGTAAGATATCCTATTATCTCATTACACAAGAAATTACTAAAAAATATTTTGTTTCAAAAAGAATCCGGTACGTCTTACAAATCCCTAGATCCTAACAATGCCAGTCGAATGGCCCAAGAAATGCTTCAGCAATCCCGTCAAGCTGAATTAGTCCAATTACAAGAATCTCTTCAAGAATTACAACAACCCTCGCTAAGGAGTATTTGGGCTTTGCCTGAAGTATCCAAAGTCCAACAAGTTGCTCATGTAAGAATTTTTTGATCTTCCTATTTGAATTGTCAAAAACATCTTTGCTTATAATAGGAAATAGCTGTTGAAGATTTGAAAGAACTTGCCTCTCAGTACCAAGCTGGTCAGTTGCCAGAAAAACAAGACAACCTAACTAAACTGTTGAATGAAACTCTTCGAGTAGCCATTAGAGGACAAATGGCTATTCACAATTTGCAAAGCCAACAATCAATTCAAGTGCCATCGTTCTTGACCACTGATCAATTGGTCAAAAATTTCACAAGTGATCTGCAACAATTGCTTGCTGTTAACAATTTACTTAACACCCAAAAGTAAGTACATAGTAACTTTAAATTTTTAGCAATTAATTGTTATTTTATTTCAGTGCTCTACTTGAATACCAAACGAAAGCAAGACAAATTCAGCTTCAACAAAATTTTTTGAAGAAGCAGATTCGACAACTTCAAGCTTACCAAATTCTGCAATCTAAGCAAGCAGGAGGAACAGTACCAGTTGAGGTAAAATTTAGTTTAATATTAAACCGCTATCTATTAATATATTTTTTTCTAGGTTGCCCAACCTCTTCAAAAATCCCAACAAGAAATGTACGAGTTGCAGCAACAGCTTCAAACCCAGCAATTTGCTCAACAAATGCTCATCAGCCGCCTCCAACAAGTGTTGATCAGTCAACGTATGGCTATGAGACAAATAGCTGTCCAACAGCATGTTCAAGCTCCAAGGGGCATGAGTCAGTTTGTATATGGGCCATCTGCAGACCATTACAACAATGTACGTTATAGTTAGAGTATTATAGTAGGGAAAATAAAAAAATTGTTTTTCACAGAATTTTTATTTGTTTTTGTACCTACAAGGATCTTCAATAATTTTCTGTTTTTATAGGGAAAGAATTCCTTAAGATTCTATTAAGGGTCAAATCCACAATTCCAAAACTGCTAGGAAAAAAAAACTCCCGTTATTACAAACTCTTTACCTTTGGCAACAATAATTTATCATGACAAAGGAGTAGGTACCTACTCGAGTGGGGAGTGGAAGATTTTGGCTACAAATTGAACGTTTTTTGTTTTAGATTTTATTAAATTTCCTACAATCAGAATGTCAAAAGTAATTAATCGTCAAACGAAGTCAGACCATTTTCTAAAAATCAGGTCTTGTTGAATTTACCCTAAATTGCTTGTAGTAGATTTTAATTTTAATTAACAAACGATGTATATTGAATCGATTTTTTAGCAGTCAAATTCGTAGGTATTGGATGCAACCGAAATCTTTTGTAGTTTATTGTAGCCTAAAGGTTTTCCTTGGAAGAATATCTATCAAAAATGAAAATTTTAATCCAACGGATATTTTGGTCTCTTCCGGGCCGCTACTACTCCGGATCTGAGCTCTCTCGATTATTTTTTATGCTGCTGCTTTATACAGAAAGTGTAACTGCCTATCAAGGCTATTTTAAAATGTTGACCATTTGTAGAGCGTTATAAACTCTCCCCAAACTAATTGGCGATACTTATGAGGAAAAATTGATCGAATAACTAGAGGAATATGCATATGCCTGTCAAATCCAACTCGGTAGAGAGAATCGATATAGGATAGGCGGAAAAGAGTAGGTACCTACAATATAGTTAGAAACATGAGCAACCACTGGAAAATGGAAGATTTTCTTGAAAGTCCAACAAAAATGTCCAACACATTTGGTGTTTCATTAGGTACGTGAATATTGGCTTTGACGGAAGAAGTTACTCCAAGCACATCATTTGAATGAAATGGCCCTTAATATAATTTTTATTTAGGTATCAAAATTGGCAATATTGACAAACTTCAGTCATGACAAATGTTGCGAACCATATATTTTTTTAAATAAAATATCAGCAAAAGAGTTGAAGTTACTTCATCCAGAAAACTTCATGTTATTTTGAAGCAAACAGGAAATTCTCCTTTCATATTGTCTCGAATGGTTTTGAGTCGGACTAGACAAGTTTCATCTCGATAAGTGGTGATATTTAGTGTAAGGGCTAATAGCTAAATGACATTTTCTAGGAAATGAAACCTAATATCGGCATCCAACAAGATCATAAAGTCAATGTAAGATTTTACGAAAACTCTATGATTTTGTCGATGCATAAGAAAATTGATAGGAATTTTAATTTTGAATATTTCTCAATTGAAAGTTAGTTTGATCAGTTCAACAATTTGTCGCCGGTTCACAAATTAAATATGCGGTATCATAATTTCACACCATTTATTGCACTAGCATAATAAAAATGCATGATTTTGATAATTTTGTTTTTAATTGTATTATCAATTTAATTAAAAATAATCAAAATCCGCATTTGGGACCATATTAAATTAAATATTCAATTTTTTTCTCATGCAATTTCTTGCAAATATTTCAATATGCAATCTAAATTTTTCTTGATAAGCTTTTATATAAAACTGCGAAGCACTTGCCTAAAATCATTGTAGTTCCTGCGATCTTGACCTAAACAACAAATATGAAGTACTTAGTCGCTTGTGCCCTTTTGGCTGTTGCCAGTGCTGTTCCATACGGACAAAGCCAGCAATGGTCGCCGATAGTTCGATTCCAGCAACAATCCATGGGACTTGGCTCCATTGTTCAACCAATTGAAGCCCTCCAGAACAGTCAGCAACAACAAAACATTCTCTCACAGTTGCTTTTGAAACAACAAGGAAACAACCAACAAAACATCCAAGGACTCTGGTCAGGATTGCAGTGGGAACAGCAGGTACCCCAACAACTCTCTGTGGAAATTGGACAAGTATTGCAACAAGCTCAACTCCAAAACATTGGCAAACAAGGCGTCAGAAACATTATCGCTGAAGAAACCGCAGAAAAAATCGTCCAAAATGTCCTAAGAGCTCAAGAAAATCAAATTATCCAAGACATCAACGTACTCCAACACATTCTTGAACAACAGAACGTAGTAGTTTCACAATCACAATCTGTCATCCAACAAGGTCAAACCCAAGGTGTCATCGAAGCCATTCAACAATTGCAACAAATTTTGCAAAAGATCCAACAAGTTGAGGTTTTGGAACATGTCCAGTTGAAAAAATCCCTTCAAGCTGTCATTGAAGCTCAATTGATCTCCCAACAATTGAACGATGTTCAAATCCCTCTGGTAGCAAGCCAACAACCAAATGTTCTGCAAGTGCAAATCCAGAGATTGGTTTCTCAAAACATCGTACAAGGAATCCAAAGGTAAGTGTGCCATACAATTTTAATTTTTAGACTTTGTAAAAAATTATATTATTTCCTTTAGAGAAATTGTATTGCAACAAAACCTCGTCCAGCAACTCCAACAACAAGAACAATTCGTTAACCAACAAATCCAAAACGTGAGACTTCAATTGTCCGTCGTTCAACAACAAGGACAATTGCCCCAAGTCCAACAATTGCAACAAGTTTTGCAACAATTGATTCAACAGGAAGGACAATTAGTTGTTCTTCAAGTTGGAAGCCAATTGGCAATCCAAAAACTCCAACAAGGTCTCGTTCAACAAGTGCAACAACTTCAACAGAACATGGTATGGGGACAAAATGTTGGTTTGGGACAAATTGTTGGTCTGGGACAAAACCTCGTTTCAGGACAATTTTAACAACAGATAATTTTCAATTGAGGCAAAATAAAGATTGGAATCCCCTAATCATCACTGCTATGGCTAATGATGTGTTTAGGTTAAGTTAATTGTTGATTTTTATTTTGGAAAATAAAATGATTTATTTATACTTTATGAAAAGACTTTATTATTTTCACAGATTATTTTAATATGTTCATCGCCGAAATACTGAAACCGTGCAAATAGTTTAATCTGCTCATGTAATTAATAGGCCGTGGAAATAATTAAATCAAATAGAATTGAATTGAACCCATTGAGGAAAAAATATCAATGTTGAATATCAGTTTGGACAAGTCTTTCTTGGATTTTGCTAGTTCTGGTCTGTTGTTTCAATTGAACAACCTCATTTGCAAGCTGCAAATTATTGCTTCCTCCCTAGGCTGTCATCTTGGGTTTTGTATCATGTATTCCCAATTTATAAAATATAGTATTTTCAAAGGCTAGGAATTAAGATATACTTTCTTGTGAGATGCCAACTGAACATAGAAAATTATGTCATAATTCAATAATTTTGTCTATGATATATCAGGAATTAACGTTTTGCTCAAGACATTTCTTTCAGATATATTGTACTTGAAACTTCAATCAGATTAACAATCATATTTCAAACTGCCAAAGGTAGTATTTCCTTGCCAGTTGAGAAAATCAAGGGGCGTTTTAGTTCAGATATTTTGATAAGTAAATACCTATCATAGATTCCTGAGTACTGAAAAAAAGTATTAACCCTCATCCTTCATCTTTTGTGGTTTTGGATTCTGCTCCCAAAGGGCAATTCGCCAGCTCAATTGAATGTGTCCCGAAAGCCTTTCTGTTCCCGGCCATGTTTGAAACATTTGTATTTCGTATCGAAACATGATGTTTCCGATACCGACAATTATAATAATTGTTTAATTATTACAATACTTTGATTTTGATTGAACCGATTAATTCATTATTGGTCCATTACCGGGTGTAGATTCTCAAAAGTCAAATCACGATTCGACCTTCTGGCTAGGCCTTGCTTTCCACGTGACCATCAAGAAGATGAAGTCATTTTCTAATTCGACAAAGTCAAAGGAACACGAACACTTACCATTCCTTTCAAGATATCATGTTCCAAAAACGGAAAATGTGTGCCAAATGGGCACAACCCAAGGAAAGGTACCTCGCTGATATTAAATCAGGCTGTTTCAATGGTTCTGGTCGTTGTGGAAGAGCAACCATAGGAACATCATACGACTGTGGATATATCCTCCAAACGACTCACAACTGCTAGAGTTGAAAAATGAAACGAACAACATAAACCATGACATAATTGGTGTTTCCGTAATACGAAGAACAAAAAGTAGCCTCATTACTTTTCAATCTGAAAAGACAAGTATTTGTATCAGAAAAAGTTTAGGAGGATAATATTAAAATAATGGAATCAAAGCTTATCAAGTGTATGCTCCAACATCGACTAGCCCGTTGAAGAAGTATATAGGCTCTATACGAAGAAATAGAGCAAACAAGGGAAGAAAAATCGAAATTTCGTTATAGACGACCTAAGTGCAATCCTAGGAAAAGGCCAAGTTGAAACGGAGATATATAAACCGATCTGGAGGAAGCATCCACAGGTAGAACATGCTCACACATTTCTTAGAAAAAAAGTGAACAATGAACATCCCATCCGAAAAAATGCCACAGAACAAATGGACATAATATGTAAATAAGTACCCACCGCCAAACCAAGAACGATACATAAAATACCTACATTGTCATTCAACAAAGATTCCAGCGACCAAAAATATGGAAAAAATTACACACAAATAATATAAATATTCATTTTATTTTACAAAATTTAATTTAACAGTTACATCAGTAGCCATAGCATTGACGATGAGGCAATTCTTATCTTAATTCAGCAAAACCATGTTTTGTTGAAGCTGTTGCGCTTGTTCAACGAGACCTTGTTGGAGTTTTTGGATGGCCAATTGGCTGCCAACTTGAAGAACAACTAATTGTCCTTCCTGTTGAATCAATTGTTGCAAAACTTGTTGCAATTGTTGAACTTGGGGCAATTGTCCTTGTTGTTGAGCGACGACCAATTGAAGTCTCACGTTTTGGATTTGTTGGTCAACGAATTGTTCTTGCTGTTGGAGCTGCTGGACGAGGTTTTGTTGCGATACAATTTCCCTAAAAAAAATAATTTTTACAAAGTCTAAAAATAAAAATTGTTTGGCAAATTTACCTTTGAATTCCTTGTACGATGTTTTGAGAAACCAATTTCTGGATTTGCACTTGCAGTTGTTGGCTTGCTACCAGAGGGATTTGAACATCGTTCATCTGCATTTGTTGGGAAATCAATTGAGCTTCAATAACTGCTTCAAGGGATTTTTTCAATTGCACATGTTCCAAAACTTGGACTTGTTGGATCTTTTGCAAAATTTGTTGCAATTGTTGAATGGCTTCGATGACACCTTGGGTTTGACCTTGTTGGATGACAGATTGTGATTGTGAAACTACTACGTTTTGTTGTTGAAGAATGTTTTGAAGAACGTTGATGGCTTCAGTTATTTGGTTTTCTTGAGCTCTTAGGACATTTTGGACGATTTTTTCTGCGGTTTCTTCAGCGATAATGTTTCTGATGCCTTGTTTTTCCATGTTTTGAAGTTGAGCTTGTTGCAATACTTGTCCAATTTCAACAGAAAGTTGTTGGGGTACCTGCTGTTCCAACTGCAATCCTGACCAGAGTCCTTGTTGGTTGTTTCCTTGTTGTCTCAATGGCAACTGCGAGAGAATGTTTTGTTGTTGTTGATTGTTCTGGAGAACTTCAATTGGTTGAACAATGGAGCCAAGTCCCATGGATTGTTGCTGGAATCGGACTATCGGTGACCATTGTTGGTTATGTCTATGTCCATGTGCAACAGCACTGGCAAAAGCCAAAAGGGCACAAGCGACTAAGTACTTCATATTTGTTGTTTAGGTCAAGATCGCAGGAACTAGAATGATTTTAGTTGAGTGCATCGCGTATTTATATAAAATTTGATCAAGAGAAATTGAGATTATAATTTCGTAATATTTACAACAAATTGCATGAGAAAAATGATATGTGATATTTTTTCTAATATGGTTCCAAATGTGGTCAATACGGATCTTGATTATTTTTAATTAAATTGAAAGTATGTACAGTTAAAAACAACATCATAAAAATAATGTATTTTTTCACGTTATCGAACGGTGTGAAATTAAAATATTTTATTATTATTTTGCTTTGTATTGCACTTAGAATTAGGCATAACATCCCCATGGTTTTCCCAACCCTATCTGTCCTGAGCTGTTTAGTCCATTTTTTTTCGATAAGTCTCTTTACCTGTCCATACCATCTATTGATTGACCAGTTTGCTGTCAACCTATATATTCGGAAACTAATATTATTTATTTTGAGTTTGGTAAAACTGAAAAATGAGAATTATTTACCCCGAAATAAATAAATTTCCTGGCTTGACAATATAAATTTGACAAACCTCATGGTGTCTGAGCGTGTCAAAATTCCAAATAAAAAGATTGCTTCTGATTGCTGCTTAATGTGCTTAGAGTAATACCAGATCATCTTGACCTCGAAATAGCCAAGAATTCCTGTTTTCTTTAATTCGTCCCATAGTTATCCTATGAAATCACTCTTTTTGAAACTGTACCTATTTAGAGTTGCAAAAGAGGGCCCTAAAAAATGTAGCTATAGTCGAAACGAGATCTTCATGCAGACCACTATTTTTGCACTATAAGATTTCAATCTTGTGCTGTATTTTTGGTTTCGACACTGTAAGTTTTTTTTTCCGAATAATATAATGTACTAGATAGAAAGAGGCTGTATGTTGCTTGCCGATAGCGAATGCCCATTCCACATATTTGAATTTGGTGAGGAACGCAGCATATATGAAAGTTGTTACATCTCAAAATAATTATATGGTCAGTGTGTCCAAGATAAGGATGGGATAACATTAGGATCTGCAGAACGGTTGGAGTTACAATGTCGGTTAAATTAGTAAAAACTTGCGTAATTTAACGCTCAATGGAATGGTACTTTGACATTTAAAAAATTCCGAACATTTTACGAGATATCCGGAAAAAAACCAAAATTTTGCAAAATCGATTTTATTTTTTCCCGAGCTTATTTGCGGAGATATTTCAAAATAAATGTCATTTCATCGTAACCACTTCTCCTAATCTACAAGATGACATTATCAATTTTAAAATTTGAAGTTTCGTCTTCGGGCCACCATCATCAACTCCATTTTTTTCAATACGGACCCTTATTTTCTGTTTGGGATTTTATAAGGTTCTGATGTCCCAAAACCAATGACATATTGCACTTATTCGAAAAGTTTATATTATTGGTACTTTCCATAAGAACTTAATGTGTAACACATTAAGTTCTTAGGAAAGTGACTAAAAAGTAAAATCGAATAAGTGCAATACTGTCATAGGTTTTGGGGCATCAGAAGCTCTTAAAATCCTAAAATAGAAAATCAAGGGACCGTATTGAAAAAACTAGGAGTTGATGATGGTGGCCCAAAGACGAAACGTCAGATTTTAAATTTGAAAATGTCATCTTGTAGAGTTGAAAAACTTTTTACGACGAAGTCACATTTATTTTGAAATATCTCCTCAAATAAGGTTAGGAAAAAATAAAATCGATATTGCAAAATTTCGGGTTTTTCAAGATATGTTAAAACATGTTCGGAATTTTCCAAATGACAAAGTACCATTTTATTAAGCGTTAAATTGCGCAACTTTTTCCTAATCTAACCAACATTGTAACTCCCATTGTTCTCCAGATACTGATGCTATCCCATCCATATCTTGGACACACTGTATATTACAGAAATCGCAAATTATTGAGAAAGCAATCAATGGAAAAGAAAATGTTAGCGAGTTTCAATAAGACATGACAAAAAAACCGAACTGACAAGCATAGTTACTGACGTGACGTTGCCCACAGTGCTATACTATACAGAGACATTTATGGGAAGGAAATAAATAAGATAGAACTGGGAGAACATAGAAACAGGTGTGGTGTACCCATTTTTTTTTTTTTGAGTACCATAAATTGAATGTAAAGCAAAAAAAAATAAAAAAAATAATGGATTTTAATTTTACGCCATTTATTTTACTAAAATCATAAAAATGCATGATATTGATAAAGTTGTTTTTAATTGTATTATCAAGTTAATTAAAAATAATCAAAATCCGTATTTGGAACCACATTAGACCTTATCACACTTTTTTCTCATGCAATTTGTTGCGATTATTAAGTACATTGAATTTTTCTTGGTCAACTTTCATATAAATACGTGATGCACTCGACGAAAATCATTCTAGTTCCTGCGATCTTGACCTAAACAACAAAACATGAAGTACTTAGTCGCTTGTGCCCTTTTGGCTGTTGCCAGTGCTGTTCCATACGGACAAAGCCAGCAATGGGCGCCGATAGCCCGATTCCAGCAAAAATCAATTGGCTCCATTGTTCAACCAATCGAAGCCTTCCAGAACAATCAACAAAACATTCTTTCCCAGCTGCTATTGAAACAACAAGGAAACAACCAACAAAACATTCAAGGACTCTGGTCAGGTTTGCAGTTGGAACAGCAGGTACCCCAACAACTCTCTGTTGAAATTGGACAAGTATTGCAACAAGCTCAACTCCAAAACATTGGCAAACAAGGCGTCAGAAACATTATCGCTGAAGAAACCGCAGAAAAAATAGTCCAAAATGTCCTAAGAGCTCAAGAAAATCAAATTATCCAAGACATCAACGTACTTCAAAACATTCTTCAACAACAAAACGTAGTAGTTTCACAATCACAATCTGTCATTCAACAAGGTCAAGCCCAAGGTGTCATCGAAGCCATTCAACAATTGCAACAAATTTTGCAAAAGATCCAACAAGTCGAAGTTTTGGAACAGATTCAGTTGAAAAAATCCCTTCAAGCAGTTATTGAGGCTCAATTGATCTCCCAACAATTGAACGATGTTCAAATCCCTCTGGTAGGAAGCAAACAACCAAATGTTCTGCAAGTGCAAATCCAGAGATTGGTTTCTCAAAACATCGTACAAGGAATTCAAAGGTAAGTTTGCCATACAATTTTAATTTTTAGACCTTGTATAAAATTATATTATTTCCTTTAGAGAAATTGTATTGCAACAAAACCTAGTCCAGCAACTCCAACAACAAGAACAATTCGTTAACCAACAAATCCAAAACGTGAGACTTCAATTGGTTGTCGCTCAACAACAAGGACAATTGCCCCAAGTCCAACAATTGCAACAAGTTTTGCAACAATTGATTCAACAGGAAGGACAATTAGTTGTTCTTCAAGTTGGCAGCCAATTGGCAATCCAAAAACTCCAACAAGGACTCGTTCAACAAGTGCAACAGCTTCAACAAAGCTTGGTTTGGGGACAAAATGTTGGTTTGGGACAAATTGTTGGTTTGGGACAAAACCTCGTCTCAGGACAATTTTAACCACATAATATTTTTAATTAAGGCAAATCAAGGATAGGAATCCCCTAATCGTGACTGCTATGGCTAATGAAGTGTTTAGGTTAAGTTAACTGTTAAATTTTATTTTTTTGAATAAAATGATTACCAATAATATCTATTTTGTGTGTTCCTTCCATGTTTTTGGTCGCTGAAATAAGAAAACAGTGCGAATAGTTAGGATTGCTCCAAATAATTAAATAAAGCAGACTTGAATACATTTTCCCCATTAAAATTGACAATATGAATGCTGATTTTCAAGTTAAGTCAAGTTTTAATATTTTTTATAGATATTGCTAGTTCTGATGTGTTGTTTCATAAATAGACAACCCTACAGTGACTCTATTAAATCACAGTGGCGACAATTGCCGTCTTATTTTTGATTGGTTCTAAAATCCTATATATTTATTTATATTGAAAACACCGCCATTTTGTGCCCACTTTTTGCTTATTTCAAATACGAATATATGGGATTTAGGTGAACATCCATCATAAAACATGGAATTCAACGTATTTGATGTAGGTACCTAATACTAGTCATCAAATACGTTGTTTTCAATTTTTTATGAAAGATGTCCATTCAAATCCCATCATTCATATTTAACGGGACGGGACCTCTATTGTCGCCACTGTATGTAAAGGTTTATTTAGGCACTGTAGACAACCCCATTTGCTCGTTAGTACTAAGTGTATCGGCAGCCCCTTGTTCGTTAAGAAAGGCAACATGGATGATTGTGCTCACATTGCTGGTAGCAACGGATGCCGAGCTTTCAGAAAGCCATTCTAGAAGGTGGAAAATAAACGGTTATAAAGATTCTCCAGCTCAACCTCAACTATTGTAAGACTTCTCATTACCTGACATAGGTAGATGATCTCAGAACAAGGATGATTCCGACCGGTTTAAACATGAGGATTCAGCAGAATGTCCATCCTGCCACGGAATCCGGAGTCAGTGAAGATGCGGAGCACGTGTTCTTCACGAGCAGTACTTGTTTGCCAGAGTCCTTGGTATGCTTTCATCGAAGGCATCCTGGGACTGAGAGGCAACTAGTTCATTCGCAGCGGAAGTTCTCCACGAACGTCGCATAGAAAGGGAAAAATAGAAATTTAGAAGGGAAGAAATCATGCAGGAATAACCACACATAGACTCTCCCTCCGTGAAGTACCTAGAAATACTTGCGATATGCTGAAGCTATTACTCTGGTAAAATTATCTGGAATAGCATAGCAATCAAGCGCCGCGACTTTTTGAAATGTTCTTTAGTAGGTATTATTGATATAGGTACACCGTCGCCCGTCAGCTTCGTGAGATATAAGAGGTCAAATGTTGCGGATCTTGTGTCAAATTCTATCGCTCAAACGTGAAAAACAGCTATTTGTCATTGCTGTTTGAGCTATACCTAAACTCATGCTATATACACAAAATATCTAGCGGCCAGCAAGCTTGGAGGGAGGCCAAGATTTGAGTTTTTCTCCTAAGTACTGATTCTATTGAAGATATTGCGGAACATTTCTTTTACGCCGAAAATTCTGACATTTCTGAAAAACCGTAGAAAAACTGCTTTATTATACGGTGTTAACAATAAAGTGAACTGTGGAGGAATGTTTATTGAAGTTCCAATTCATTCCGTAGTATGCCAGTGTAATGTGTATCCAGAAAGGTCAAAACATTATTTTTTTCACTTTAGTTTGCCTTATCAAAAAATGTTTATTAATTCACTTTAATAATGTCCAATTTTAATCACTGCAGCTCAGGTCAGGGATCTAATGTGCGAAATGAGTATATTTTCAATGACATTAATAATTTTAAAGATAATTAAAAAAACGATAAATAAATAACAATATTTTTCTCGTGCAATATTATGTATTTTTTAATCATTACGTTTTTGATCACCTACCGCGTGAAACTCCGTTCTGACACATCGTTTGCACAAAATTAGGAGACTTTTTTTGCACCAAATCAAGATTTCAAGAACAGCAGCAAAGCCAAAATATGAATCTTCTTAAACCACAATTGGGAGAATCGTAATTATTGCTAAGCAGACTCCTCAAATGATCGTTCAAAACCTCCTAGATTGATCCAAGGCTTTGACCAACTCCAAAAAAGTGTTCAACAATAACTACAACTATTGGTGTACATGTTGAACTACAAGTTGACTCAGTGGCGATGCGTGACTTGCAGTCTGGGGGGGGGGGTAATGGGAAGATGCGACCCCTCGCAAACGCGCCGCAGGCGAAATTTTTTGCAACTTCAATATTATTATGTATTTTCTTTTGGGCTTTGTGATTTTTCCCTTGATTATTGGATCCTGGGGGGGTCAATTACTCCCATTACCCCCCCGACGCGACGCCCCTGAGTTGACTACAACTATTTAAACCATTGAGCAGCTAAATTCACAAAAATTTCAACAAGCTCAAGTTATTGAAAATCAAACACAAGAAGTTTCAGTTGAACAATAATTGATTCTGCAAAAGATGTAAATCAAGAACTTCACATAACACATGAAGTTCTTGAACTATATAGGTACATCGGAAGTTTTTTTGAAGCAGGATGTACACGCACAACCTGTATCCTGACAACAGACGAAATATGCCAAAAGGATCCGCAGGATAATGCCAAGAAGAGGGCGACTAAATTGCTCCAGAAAGAGAAGCAGCTGCTGGCTCAAGGTTTATCCAAATTTCACGGTTCTTGCTCGGAATAGGACGTAAGGTAGCGTCTTCTTATTTTTGTCCTCGCTATTCTGGTTATCTGGATATTACGAATCAAGGTAAATTTTCCTTCATAAAAGAACTCTTTCTGACTGCGTGTTGCATTCACGATCAGTTTCATATGGCTCCACGCATAGTAATCCATATCTACAGGCGGTGAATTTGGGCTTTACGCTGAAAAAGCAATTGGGCATATCCTATCAATCCAATGATTATAAATGAGTATTCCAAGAAGCTATTGTTACAGCGTCTAGATCCAGACTCGTCCATCCATCAACTGGTTGATGAGAAATTTGGATTTCCCTATTCTAAATTTAACTTCAACTTCAAATAAAAACGGCACGATTCTTTGAAGAATACTGAAAAACTTCGACATTTCAATGTAAGAAAAGTTTAGGAAAATGTGAATTATAACTACATATTCAAAAATCGACTAAAGCCCTGAAAAAATTACTTAAGAATCCATTAAAACATTTTAAAATCACACCAAATAAAATTTAGAATGATATAGGCAATTATTTCTTGATAAAAGAGACCCCTCGCGATACCCTGTATTAATGCAAAACTTTCTTATGCAACAAAAAATTAAATTACAATCTTTGTCTTTTCCTGAATGGGAAAAAAATCTGTATAAAACGAAGTCCTGGCACTAACAAAATCACAGTTGAATCGAGTTGCTTGACTGAACCTCGAGAATGAAGTCCATTGTTTTGTTAGGTTTTTTGGCTCTGGCCACTGCAAGCCCTTTGGGATGGTCTTCTACAGGTATGTACATCTATTAAATTAATTAATTTTATTCCAAAACTATTTTGCTAACATGAGAAATTTCCATAGAATTGTAATAGTCTTTGGGAATCTAAATATTAAAATAATATTTTTCTGCAGGCTCCTCATCAACAGGTAACCAATGGCAAAACAGTTGGTGGACTAAATTATCTGGTCTCCAACAATCTCACCAAAGAAGCGGGCAGCAACAAGGTACACTATCCCAGATGCAACAGATTGTTCAACAGCAACAACAGGGTCAAGGTTCTATTATTGGACAACACCAACCTCAAATCGTTCAGCAGTTGTTGCAACAACAACAGCAACAAAGTCAACAATCCCAAATTCAAAACATTGTTCAAAAGCTACAACAAGGACAAAATTTGATGAACGGACAAGCGCAACCTCAAATGGTCCAACAACAATTACAACAAATTGTCCAACAATTATTGCAACAACAACAAGGTCAACAATCCCAAATTGGAAACATCGGTCAACAACAATTACAACAATTGGTTCAGCAGTTGTGGCAGCAACAGCAACAAAACCAACAATCCCAAATTCAAAATATTGTTCAACAGCTACAACAAGGACAAAATTGGATGAACGGACAAGCGCAACCCCAAATGATTCAACTACAATTACAACAAATTGTCCAACAATTATTGCAACAACAACAACAACAACAACAACAATTAGTTGATACTGAACAGGTTTTCGGACAACTCCCACAATACCTGATCCAGAAACTTCAACAATCTGTCCAAAGAAATAACCAGCAACAAATTCAACAATCCCAGATTCAAAACATTGCACAACAAAGCCAACAAGCACAAGGTTCTATCATTGGACAACAGCAATACCAAATCGTTCAACAACAACTACAACAAACCGTCCAGCAATTATTGCAACAACAAGAACAATTAGTTGGCCAACAGCAAGGACAGGTTCAACAGCAATGGCAGCAAGTATACGGACAGGTTCAACAAGAACAAGTGAGATCGATTTCGTCATTTCTCAGTACCAAAACATCGATTTACATTTCCATTTTTTGCAGGTGTTACCAACTGGTGCCATCCAATCCCTTCAACAACAGTTGGCTCAACAACCAATGCAACAACAATGGCAAATCGAGCAACAATTGCAACAATTGAGATCAATTGAATCTCAAGTGCAGGATTCTTTAAACTTAGGTCAAAACATCATTGCCGCCAGTGTACTTCCCGAAATCCAGCAACAAATCCAAGCTGGACAACAAGTCCAGGGAATTCAACGGTAAGATTGTTCAATCCGATACCAAATGTAGCTTAAAATTTTTAAACCTCTTTTAGTGAAATTGTCAGGCAATTGATCAAAGTCCAACTTCTTCAAGGCGAATTGCAGCTATTGAACCAAAAAATTAACCAAGTCCAAATCCAACAAGTGATCGCTCAAGAACAAGGTCAGCTTAGCCAAGCCTCTGTATTGCAAGTGGTTCAACAACAACTGGTTCAACAAGAAACACAATTGCTAGCTGAACAGATTACTCGTCAAGTCATCGTACAAGAGTTGCAGCAAGCTCTGAGAAGCGTCCAACAACAACAAGTTGAAATTGTAGGCCAACAACCTCAACAAATCGTACAACAATGGGTCCAAGGTAAACCTTTGGTAGCAGTTGAGAGCTACTCCGTTCCAGTATGGCAACGTATGGTAGCAACCAGGAAAGTGGTGTTGCCTAGCTGGATGTCCCAGCAAGTTCCAGTTTCTCAGTTGCAACAGCAAGGTCGTCTTCAGGCTATTTTGTCTCTTTAAATCCTTGAAAACACGAATTTATTGTGCATTATGACTGTGAAATGGAAATTGTAATTTAGTTTTTAGAATAAATTCAAAGCAAGACTGAGTTTGGTTGTTTAATTAGTTTATTTTTACTCTGCTTTAGACAGAAGATCAATTTAGCAATTTAGCTAGATTAAAGAATTAGGCTGACAGTTTCCGATAGATGTATTTGAGGCTGATTGCCTGAAAGCGTTATTTATGCCAAACTAATACGGTAAAGAAGAATCCTGGGGGGTGGGGTAACAAGGCCAGATTGGGGGAAATTTTTTCGGCCCGAGTTGGAGTCCTTATATCGGTCCACCCAGTGGGAGATCTATAATATTTCAATTTTTGCTCCCCTGATAGCGCCGCTGGCGAAAATTTTGAAAATTTTCAAGGTCACGCGTTTTCCCGGCACCTTAGAATGTACCTACTTAGGAAAATCCGTTTATGCAAAAATATAGACTCTTACAAGGAAAATTTAATTTATCTCTCAAAATATTAATAATTTGGAGTGAGTGGTTTACACCGAAGTCCGAAGTTGATCGGTACACCGAGTTCTACTCGGTAACTCTCCGGCCCAATCCAGGCCTGGGGGGTGATGCAATATTTTTACCCATACATATAAGATATAAGTAGGTGAAGTCAAATAAGAGGAAGCTCACCGCAGGTGCCGCCGGAAGCAGAAATTCTTTTCGGGTGCTGCGTTCAAAAACCTTTATTTTAAGCCTTTTTTTAGATCCTTGTTGCTGTTTTTTTTAGCTCTGGGGGGTAATTACCCCAGCCAGTGGCCTGAAAGACTGGAGGAAACATGTTCACTATCATCTCGAAAACAGTCAACTTTTTTGAAAATGTATAGATCATTGAAGTTGCTCCAAATTTGGTCTTAGGTATATTGGTCTACAATCAGCCCTTCTTGAGATACAGCGCAAAATTTAAACAAAGATGAGGGGTCATCCTCGAAATGGGGAAAAACAAGCTGTAGACTAAAGAACGCTGTATGTCAATAACGGCTAATTGTAGAGCAATGTACCAAATTTGGAGCCAATTTATAGATCTATAACTTTTTAAAAAAGTTTATGCTTAATTAACTACACTAAAAGTACAAATATAAATAGGTTACCTAAAAAAAAGCCAATTATTTCTTGTTAATAAGGATCCCTCGCGAAGCTGAACTTGTTTGTGCAATAATTTTGTTTCCATATAAGCAGGGCCGTAGCTAGAGTCAAATTTGTGATAGGGCATGACAAATTTGACATAGGGCATACACTACTTGCCCCCCTAGCCTTAAATTATAGGTAAACAATCTGGCGGTAATGGCGCCAAGGGAAATTTTTCAATAAATAACATCTCTGGCAAGTAAACAAAATGGCGCTGATTCTCGCGCTGCCTTGGACCATTCGCACCAAGGATAATACACACTAATAGTGAAATTCATTGGTAAGTTCAGTGCGCACTGAGTGCATTCGTATCCTCTTCTACTAGCATGTAAAAGAAAGTGATAGAAATACATGTTTTTTGCACTAACTTCACCAATGGTTTTCGCCATATCTACTACTACTAATACAGAATAGCTTATCATCATAAGGCCTCTGTGTATATCAAATCTCAAGGCCCCCACCACGACAAAAAACTAGTGATTACGTAGGCAGCGTGTCGTTTCTCGCTTTGATGTAGGGTGTTTTCACCACAGGTTATCATCCCATGATAACATTTTTCATCATGAATATTCTAAACTACGACCGCTGGCGCAAACAGCTAACGAAGTTGATGATGTCGTCAATAGTGTTACACCATATAGCCGCAATTTTCACAAATGATAAGCAATCCTGTGTAGTAGTATGTATTATCGTAGTATCCTTGCATTTCCACTCTTTCGAATCGAAAAACTTCCTCTGTGTAAACGTCAAACATTGTTGCATACATTTAGGAGTTTTCGGAAACACTTATCCTTGCACTTACTCGATTTCAGGCCTTTTCATAATCTACTCTTAAATTTCCTAGAGAAACCTTAACGCATGTTGCATTTTAAAGGTAGGGCATGATCATTTGAAAGATAGGGCATTGCCCCCCAATGCTCACCCCTGGCTACGGCCCAGCATATAAGCAAGAAAAGGTCGGAATAACACGGAGTCCTGGCTTTAAATTTGAATCGTTCTTCTGGTTAACTGTACCTCAAGAAAGTTCGGTGGCACGAGCCCTGAAAACTTGCTCTTATGTCGGCAACAATGCAATGCAACATCAGCAGCCTCTGCCGGTTAATTCGGTATTCGGTGACCACAGGCCAAGAATCGTAAAGTAACAGGATTGCTCATCCTCATAAGGCGTACGTTCGCCAATTCTAGAGTCGGCAGGGCCTCCGAGTGACGTCGCCACTATTAGCAGCTTATAATGGTGACGTCACCCGCAGGCCTCGATGGGAGGCTTGCGATTCAGGTCGTGCTTGTTTTTTTGTCGATTTTAAATGTAGAAAAGGTGACTTTAACAAGATTATAACGATTAGGAAATCGTTTTTTTGACCTATACTGTTCCAAGCTCGGCTAATGCTTTTACGCCAAGTGTTGAGGTCTTTGGCTGAAATGGCAGATATTTTCAGCTCAATACTCAATAAGCAGTCTTATTAGGTTGAATGTTCTTGGGCACAGGCAACCGCGATGCTTCCTTCGCTTTTCTAAGATTTCCCCAAACATATCAGCGTCGACAGGTACTTCCCATTTTTTATTCCAAAGAAGAAAAGCAGTAAAATAAAATCAAATGCCCCCCTAAATTTTTCTGGCTCAGCCTGGCCCCCGCTAACAGGGAACCCTGGGCTGGAACTCTGTTACGGATAGAGATCGTTATCCCTATCGCTATGGCACTTGCTGTCTTCTTCTCTCTTGTCGAAATCAATAGAGAGGAGACGTCAATAGAGATAGAGAAAATATATCTATTCGTTACAGAGTCCCAGCCCTGGCGCGCTACTCGTTGCATCCTATACTTTTTCTACGCCTGCGAAATAACTGCATTCACATCGAGATTTTTAATTTTCTTTTTCTTAAAAAAATATTATTTAATGTTATAATTAAGGAACAATTTTGGTACGTCCGCTGAATGTAGGTACTCAGAGTTGCTTGCAGAACAAAAATTCAGTGGAAGTGTCACTTTCATTTTAGCGTTCGGAAAGTACTTTTCGCACGCTCCAGAGCGTGTGAAATAGTATATTATATACCTAGGTAGAGAAGTTGGCTTTTATTATTATAATGCGTAAGGTATAATGAGTCTCTCCACCGAGGAATATATAGAATTTGTTTTACTACTGCTAGTAGAAAATAAAAAATAGGTTTAAAATCTGTGCTCAAATTATTTTTTTTGAACGGCTTCTTGAAAGTGCTGCCCTCTATCAACAGCTTATGGCAACTTCCTATCATGGGCGTCGTTTGGGGGGGGGGGGGGGGGCATGGTGGAGGCATTTGCCCCCCCCCTAGAAATAGTCTTTTGAACAAGAAAGCAGTGAAAGAGAGTTCGTATTCGTATTGCTTTTTTCCATTTTTTCAAAATTTGTTAGGTACTTTGAAAAATTGGCTGACATTTTCATTACATTCAACGGAATTGAATTTCACTTGACTTAGGGCCGGTATTATAAAACACTGAACCGATGGTAGAGTTCCAACCTTCGGTTGAATCCTATCATATATGGAGTCAACCCACGGTTGAAACTCAATCATCGATTCAGTGTTTTATAATACCGGCCATTAGAAAATTACCTAAACAAATGCAGTGGCGACGCGGTTCTATGTTTAGGTACGGTTTGTTAGGATAGTACGCGACGCACAACTGACTACGTAAACGTCGTGGTTCTGTGGTCATTGGTTCATGTATGACGTACACCCGTTTTCAGACGGTGACGCTGACGTGAGAAAACGGGTGTACGTCATACCTGAACCAATGACGACGTTTACGTTGCCAGTTGTGCGTCGCGTACTATCCTAACAGACCGTACCTTTAGACTGGGCCAGAAAAATGTAGGGGGGGCATTTGTTTTTATTTTACTGCTTTTCTTCTTTGGAATAAAAAATGGGAAGTACCTGTCGACACTATTATGTTTGAGGAAATCCCAGGAAACCGAAAGCAGCATCGCAGTTGCCTGTGCCCAAGAACACTCAACCTAATAGGACTGCTTCTTGAGCTGAATATGTCTGCCATTTCAGCCGAACACCTCAACACTTCGACGCCCATGCTTCCTATACCTACAGAAACCTATTTTTTTTTAAATTGATGTATGAAATTGAAATTAAACCAATAGAAATATGACAATATCCTTGCGTCATGACGTCATTTTCAATATTAACCTAGGGATTTTTTCATTATTTTCATTATTCACCTAGGAAAAGAAATTCAATTTTTTCCTAGTAAAATAGATTGAATAATGACTATTTCTCAGGTAAGTAGTAAAAAAAGTACTTTTCGCACGGACGGACCGTGTGAAAAGTAATTTTTGCACGTTGTGCGGAATAATTGATTTTCTAGGTGAGTTAGTAGTGAGTTTTTATATAATAGCTTTCTAGAGCAGTCGTATAAAAAATGTCGTGCCTAACCCGAGCGTAAAGCATCTTTTCCGCACTTATGCCTTACCCGAACTTCGCTAGCGCGTCGTTCGTGCAAACGCCGTTGCGAGCGGAAAAGTATAACTTTCGCACTTGTTCTATTACCTACCTGAAAAATTGAAGATGGCCGTGGTATCCACCCGTATATGAAAAGATCTAAGATTATCCTAAATATTTCAAAATCAGAAATAAGTTCACCAGTCCATACAAATGGCAATACTGAGTTTAAACGAAATTTTGTTGAATTCTTCTCAACTTCCCTGCGTTTTTATTCTTAAGATAGCCAACTCATCGGTGAAGTCATCGATTAGAATTAAAAACGAGGGTCTTCTTTACCAAAGATGATACACACTACTACTACAGAATAGCCTATCCTCATAAGGCATGTGTGGAATAAATCCCCCACGCCAAATCACCAGTTGTAACGTAGGCAGCATGTTATTTCTCGCCTTGACGTAGGCTGTTCAAACAATTGATGACTTAGTTATGACGTCACAAATGG